GGATCCAAGCATCACATGAAAGATGGGACATTGAAGTCCAGAGTGGGTGATCCAACACATAGCCCAGCAGAGATTCATAGTGAACATCTTTGCCTCTTTGCTGAAGTCTCATCCATTGGATGGTGGTGGGAGGGGAGGGTATCTAAGTGCTCAGTAGTGGGCATTTCTAAGAGTCTCTGTAGACTCAGATGAAAGAACAGAGGAGCAGTGTGTCAGGTTGGTCCTGACTCTGTCTTGAGAATTGGAAAAGGGAATGAAATCAGTTTGCAATGGTAGATTCTTGTCCTTAAGATGCTGCCCCTGGGATTTAGTCAAATGAGTAAAGACAACTGGATTGCAAACAAAAAATAAAGAGCAACATTGCGTGTTCATTGTCCTTTAATAATACATGCAAATGAATTTTTATAAGTATCGACTCTGCTTTATCCTTTTAATCTTTAACATATACTTAAAGCTAACATTATTAGAAAAAGTTTAAATTACATTGTTACATGAAAGCAGCTATAAAGGAAGTTACCTAGCATTCTAGTAGTCTGAAGATATTTTACCTCATGTTTTAAAACTTGGAAAATGAATTAAGAGTAAATTTGACACTTCAAAGTAATTATTTTTGAAGGCTTTTCAAGAAGAATATGAATGATAATTGGTTACTGAATTTAAATACTTCACACGAAAACAACAGAGCAAGCATAAACACACATTTTAATCTTAACAAAATGTGGTTGTTTTGTTTTATGAAATTGCAAAGATGCAATTTTATGAAATTGTCTGTAGTATTATTATAAAGCCAGATGTTCAGTTCGTGAGAATCAGAAACATAGAAAACACAAGAGTTTACTTTGTAGTAGGTAAGTTATTTTAACTAACAACTTGGAGAATAAAACAGGAGAGATTCTTTAACTTGTATCTCATGATAACATTAATTCTAAGTGTTTTGCATAATTATGGTGCGTATGAAGCAAAACACCAGAGGAAAAGGTGAAGAAAGTTACTGACATTAATAATGAAAACACTTCTTCAAATGACTTGACAGATTTACATGACTCCATCTGGATGGCATTGCCCTACATGTGGAATTGGGGTGGGGGGGATGGGAGGGGAGGATGGTCAGGGTGCATGTGAGGGGGCAGAGAGGCTAAGAGAGAGAAGAGGAAGGGAGGGAGGGAGAGGGAACTGGGATCACTGTGTAAAATAAAAAAATAAATAAATTAATTACAAAAAATACTGAAAACACTTACTGTATTGGCAACCACCGATATAGATTGAAATGGTCATGGACACCAATTGTGAAATCTCTGGTCCAAAGAGAAAGACCAGGGCAGGAGAAGTATATCTGCAACAAGTATGAATGCCAGGGGCACTACTTATTCTAAGTGCAAGACTAAAATATTATCTTCAAAGTCAACTGGTGGGTACATAAACACACAAGGGAGACGTTTATAGGTCATTACTTGCATGAAAAATCGTCTCGGATCTATGCTTCTGTTGGCCCGATACCATCTCCAGCTTCTACCCCCCCAGAACAGCCAGCCAGACACAAGCTTCTCCCCCCCCCAACACCACATCAAAAGAGAACTGAGACAATTCCTTTGATCCATTATTCTCCAGAAGTAATTGGGTCGCATATGAATGAATTCATCAGGGAACCACAGTGTACTTTTGTAAGGAACACTGGTAAATTTACTGAACTTTTAAAGGACTGAAAGTGTCTTTTACTGTTGCTTTTTAAAGCTTTGTGTGTGTGTGTGTGTGTGTGTGTGTGTGTGTGTGTGTGTATGAGTGTGTTTGTGTGTGAATGTGTGTGCATGTTTGTGTGTGAGTGTTGTGTGTATATGCGTGAGTGTGTGTGTGTGTGTGTGTGCGTACACAAGTACACATTGAAAAGATGGGATGTCAGGGTTCTGGGTGTCAAACAGTACAATAAACAATGTATTTCTTCTGACTTTAAAACAAGGTCAGAATACAGTTATGACTGTCACCCTAGTATATATTGCTGTGGTAACTATTATTTCTTATTGTATAGAAGTAAAACCCAAAACATTATATCCCTAATAAGTGCATGAGTCTCATCAACATTGTTCAAATAAACAGCATTCTGTTAAGCTTCCTAAGTAAGTGTAGGGGAAGGGAGGGAGAAGACATGATGATAATTAATTGTGTATGTGTGAAATTTTCAAAAAGCAAAGAAAAATACATTAAAAAAGAAAACCAGGTTCTTTGAACTACCTATAGTAAAATACCATTTCTAAAATAGTTTCAATTTGAGGAATCATTTTCACCAGAATAAAGCCCAAGGCTATGAATTGTCTTTTTAAATATGTCATAAGTAAATGAACAAGACACTCATTTCCGATGCTTTACTCACACATATATACTCACACATATAGAAGCAAGGGTAGGCTGTGGACAATGGAAAGGATGGGGGCAGCTGCAATTGAACTGAGAGTTATACTCTGCCAGCTCTTCATCTTGGGACTATAGAGTAGTTCTCAGCTTTTTTATTCCTAGGGACTGGCAGGAACTGCCGGAGTGGCTATTTAAACCACATCTCACTCAACCATGTCCACGATGAGCAGTATGCTTAAACTTAGTATATTTAAATAGACATAAAATTGGACAAATTGTATCCTTTCTACTTTTTCAGTAGAAACTAAGAGCCTATTTTCATTTTGACATGTGTTTGGCATCAAAAATATTTCAGTGAAATGGGCCATGACCAGGAACTGAAGTAAGTCACTGAAGCAAGAACAATATGGAAAAATTTGAAAAGCTGATCAGTTGGAGAACATTAGCCAAAACTGAGCAAAGGAGAAATATTTGGGTGGAATTTAGACTGGAAAAGAAAGTATAAAGTTTGTATTGCTAATGAGATGCCCAAGTGAGTATCTTTAATAGGTAAAGAGGAAATATTGTTGGGATCCTAGGTACAATGTTGGAAATATTGTCAAGAGAGAAATCTTTAACCATGTAGTAAATAAACCGAGGACATATTTGCATATGATATTTTTAACTTGAACAGTGCCTAACAAGGTGTAACAACTTTCGCTAGTTTTAAGTCATAGACAATAACAAAAATCAATTGCAACAGCATTTCATAATGTTACAAATTGTTGCATATAATTACATTTAATGATGATTTTGTAGGTGTCCTTTGTTGAAACAGGTAAGCCATAACACAATGTGTCTTTTCTAGAATTTGAGAGTGTGTTCACCACTAATTTCTAATTATACTTTCCCTTGTCATGCCACTGCCTGATACAGTAAAAACTAACTAAATTACTGAATTGAGAATTTGTAATGTGTCTAGTTTAATTTTTAGGTTATTAATTTCTTCTCCCATTTGAAGTAGATTCTGGGGTTGGAGGATTAAGACTGAAAAAGAAAGCCCCATGAAACTAATTACACTAACAGTTCTTCATCCATGTTCATAGCATTTGGAAAATTGAAAACTTAAAATTTGGGGGGGGGGTTAGCAAATACTAGCACTTTAAGGGAAGTTTTATAATCTTTACCAAAGAAAGACACCATAGAGAAAGCAACTTTGCTAGCAGCTGACTAGCTGAGAATTGACACCGAGTTAATTTTCTGTCTCTGATGGCAGAGTTAAAGGGACATTTCCCAATCAAACTGACTTTCTTACACATGCCAATCTTAGTTGCTAAGAAGCATTCTTATACACAGCTCTGCTATCATGCCAATCACGCTGCCCTAATTTATCTCCATGGTAAATAACATGTCTAGAGAGAAAATTTAAGACAATGTTAATGTGTTTAAAGATGTTACTATCTAATTATGAAGGAATACATTTTATCTTGGCCACGAATTTAAAAGAAAATAAATAATGCTTTCACGTTTATATTTAAGAATGTAAGTACCAGTTAATGTTCCATGTAGCAGAATGTAGGTTTTAATATTGATCAGATGGACATAGACTTTTGTTATAATGGCCACTATCTTGTATACTTAACACCAAGAGTGAAACTCAGTTATTTGTCTGGTTAAACACATATCTTTATTCTTTTAAATAAATAACACTTATGAAAAACGACAAGCAAAAGTAACATCCACGTGTGGTTTTTTTCCCTACTGAACTGAGTAGATAAATCCAAGTGGCTTTGCACGATTCTAACTGTCAGCTTTAAGAAATATAGGGTTTTCATAATTTTGGTTTATGGTGAGCATTCAAATTGACAAAAACCATTCTTTTTACTTGTAGTCCATTTATCTTCTAAAATAAGTAAATTAAAAATGTATACTTGGAAGTAGGCATCAGATATATGACAATACAACATCATTCTATACGCTTGCTCATCATAGCAATCCAGACATTTGCTATATACTTTCCACCCTTGCTGGCAGAAGTAGATGGTGGATGCTAACACCAGCAACTGATTTTTATCATTATAAACAATAAATGAGATGTAAAGAGATAGTTGTGTCAAATAAAATGACAAAGGGGGATAGTCATATGGGGTTTCCTTTAAGCACATGATATCACAGTCATGGTCACATGACATCAACCCTGCTGGTGATGCTCACAGGTACCATGTGTAGACATACAGGAAACGGAAGCCTTCTCTTAATATAGCCGTTAGAATGCTCTGGTTTTAACTATTCCCATCAGTTCTCCCAGCAACCTGACAATGAACTCCTGAGACCAGCCCACTTGTGGTTCAACTTGTGGTTGAAAGCCTCAGGTGAGGCACTTGGGAGAAATGGTGCTGAACCCTCAAGGGTTTAGTGAGTGGCTTTAGAGTATGGTGAACCTTCATTCTCAGGTCTAAAAATACGATGACGTAAAGTGTATTCTCTTGACAACAGGACGAAAATAACCTGGGCAATATAAAAGGAGTACATTATATTACTGTTTAGAGGCTTTTATAATTTAGGGTGCAAACTGAATAGCAACTCACGGAGTCATATTTCATATTTGTTTTAAAAGAGAAGGTGGCCAAGAAATAGGTCATTTGGTACAACAGATTTTTTTTTTTTTTTATACTTCCCTAGAATTTCTTCTTTCTTTTACATTTCTGGCATTTTTGTCTACCTTCATTTCCTCTCTTGTCCTCTGAGCTACTGTCGCTGTCGCTGGGTTGCCTTTGCCTCTTTCTTTTATTTCTGTGATAAAGGTCAGGGTCACTTGGTTGCTGGTGGGTCCATTCATAAGAGCTGGGCCCGGCCTTGAGGTCTGGAGCGTGGTCTAAGGAGCAAGACCCAGACGCACTGTTGGGGAGTGAAGGCGTCACGTCACAGAAAGGAGGCTGAAGCATTGGACTGTGTGTGTGCCAGTGCTGTGGAGAGAAGACACGCATGAACACACACACTCAAAATGCAAAAAAAAAAAAAAAAATGTTAACAATTCACAGGCACTTGCAGGCAGTAATGGGTGAGCCAAGCTGACCTGGGCATACCACAGTGAGCGTGTTGGACAGGGGTTATGGGCAATGTTTCATCTGGGTAACATGAAGCACAAAGATTAACAGTGCCACACAGCTTATTATCATATTGTTTAGCAAAGTCAAGCAGAAAAATTATGCATAGGTAGTCCATAAATATAATATAAAAAGAAAAATAGATAAAATAGTATATTTATTTATCCCAATACAATTCCAGACTATTGTTATTTAACACCCGTTACCAATTAAGGAAATCTTTTATTCAGAGCTGAAATATTGAGCCTAGGTCTTTGTTCTTGGTAGGCAGGCCCTTTACCCCTGAGATACATCCCCCAGGGAGATACTTTGCTTTTATTTTCAGTGGGAATCTTCTCTAGTACTCACAGTTTATCCTAGATGGAAGCTAGGTCATCATTGGAGTTATTTGACTTGATGCAGAGTCATGTAATTTTATAACAGAAAAATTTTTAACTACCAGGTTCCATTTGCTTGAAATATACACAGAAACTTCCCAATATGTGATCCAGGTACTGATTTTAAATTTTAATGAAAATGAAAAGCTTCTCAGAAGCAAATGACGCTGAGAGCTCCCACCTTGTAAAAAGACACAGCTGTCACTTTTCCAGATAGAGAAAAATTTCTTGTGTTTTTTACAAGTTAGCTGTAATTTCTGACCATTTTAATCAGAGGACAGGGGTAGCAGGAAAAAGTCTTCCCCTCAATCCCAGTCAGAAAGAAAAAATACATTTAAAAGACCCTGGAGGACTTTCATGTCAGGGAAGGCTTGTTTATTTATTTATTTTTATTTTATTTATTTATTTATTTATTTTGCAGATACAGATGTAGCTATAACTTAGGACAGTTTTCTCCAGAAGGGAAGGCATTATTTTCCATCTAACCCTTAAATATATGCTAGGTATTCACAACAGTCTCTGGAGGTGGTGGGGGAGCAATGCCTATCGCCAACAAACCTACCGTTTTGGATTTGCTGGGTAATGTCCTGGGACTCCCATTATGTTACTTCAAAAAGAGTTGTGAGGAAAGTGTCCTAAAATTCAGTACCACGATTAAGATTTCTAGGCTACAGCCAAGCTTAACACAGGAGTTCCTTCCATTTAACTGAGAACTTTCAAGTGGTTTTTTAAAAGCAAAAATACTTAAATGTGATTGATGGCCACACATATGAATATGACATATTGAGAGAAAAATCTTCACTCCTAAGAACATCTCTGGCAATGGTCACTTCCTAGGGAATGAGTATTCAATGGTTACTTGGTTTTTCCTGTCACAAGTATTATTTGCCTGTTGCCACTGAGCACAGGGAAGTCACTGAAGTCTTATGCAGAGGATTTCTTAGGACTGTGTATTGATGTCTGGCTCAGATTTCAACACCAAATGTCAAGAAAGGGTGCTTTTGTTCTTATGTTTGTAAATGGTATACTACATCAATTGTATTTCACACTTACTATTTTCTGAAAGAAAAAATATTCTTGAGGCAAAGCAGGGTTCATAACTGGGAAAAACTGCATGGGAAACGAAGATCTGCCCACCATCTCCTCATTCCTTTGCAAAAGAAGAGAAGCAAGGACATCTTAAAATCCCAAGGTACAAATGTCATTTTCTCATGAAGAAACAAACAAACAAAAAAAAAATGACAACCTTATGTAAGTAGAAGAGTTCTCTGGTAGTATCTAAGATTAAATACTTTGAACCCACACAAATAATGTGTCATTTCATTGATGATGTAATGACATGGTATTACATTAATTACTTAGTTATAATATTGAGAATCACAGTTGTCTTTCTAGAAGGAACACCTTAGATCATGCTATATTTTAAAAAAAGAAATATTCAGATATGAACATAACAAGCAAATGCCTTGCAGTCACCAAGAGTATGTCAGGTTTCTATTGATAGAAAAGCAATATGGAATTTTTAGCACTTCACCTTTAAAGACACCTTTACAGCTTAACTAGGATGTTGCATGCGTAGACTGCTGTTTTAATATACTTGTTGATGTCTAACAAGCTAAGATAATAAAGTCCATATTTATATTCAAAAGCATGAGTTTGATTACCTGAAGCTGTGTGAGTTTATCTTAACACAGCTCTCAAAACTGTGGCTAGCTGGTTCATAAGAGCGAGAACTACCTTTAAAGAGAACAAAACAGAAAAGAGACATTATTTTATGACACAATCACTTGGAGTTTGAACATTATAGCATTAAGTGATAAAGTTAACCCAAACCCCAAATCTGGTGGTTCCGGCGTATAATTCATCATTTGAGAGACTGAGACAGGCAGCTCTAGAAGTTCAGGTTAGCTTGGGATGTATATAGTGAGATACTATTAATGAAAACCAAATAAACACAAATATAAAACCTTACCTTTTTAGCACTCAAAATTCTATACTAGTTAATACATATGCACATATAACATATCCATAGTCACATTTACAGATTTTTATATAGCATTATAAATGACCGGATGAAAACTGACCTTTTTACAAAAGCCATGGGCAGATATGAAGATTACACAGGCATGGGACTATGTGAGATATACAATGTTGTTTCACTGCACACTACTGTAAGCTAAAAATGGCACTCTGTCAGTGTCATTTGCTCCCAGTATATAAGATATAATTTCCCTAAACATTATAGTCAAAAGCCAATTGAATGTGCTGACAGAATGTAATACACCCAAGTTTAATCCACTCACTGTCAGGGAGGTCGGGGAGGGGTCAAAAAGAAAGGCAGAGTCAACATTCCTTTTGCAAGAAGACATGATTTTTGTTACTGTTGACCTTAGCAGATCAATAATACTTCAATAACTGAACGCCAACCTGAGGAGGCCTAATGTTACTTAGATGCCTCTTTCTGTCCTTTCCCAGCCTACAAACATTCTCTGTACATCTCCTTTATAGATGACTAGTTCATGGTGTGTGTCACACCTGTCTTGTAAGTTTTAAATTCAGGCCCTAGCAATGTTCATAAAATGGTTTCCCTGGAAAGTCTAATTGGGAAGATGTTTCTTCAAAATAATAGACACCTGAGTAGTGTCAACAAGGTAAAACAGTCTCACTATATAATGTTTAGAGTTATTTGTTTTTTTATACATGTAGATTTTCGAGTTGCCAGCAACCTTTATAGGTACTTTCTGGTTGGTTCTGAAATAGAATTTTAAAGGTTTTAATATAGAACATATAAGTCTGGTTTGGTAATATGGTAAGCAATATCAATTAAATATACATTCAACAGTAGATATACAACTCTCCCCTAAAAAATAACAGTGATGGCAGAGACACTTTTTATTGTCCTGTACTATAAAGAAAACAAAATGTATAAGCCCCTGAGAATAGGACCAACAACAGAGCACACTTAGAAGATTGATGGGTGTCAGAATTTATCTAATAGATATTGCAGAAACTAATAGTGATGACAAAACATTTTTATTGTACTACATCAGTGACTCTCAACCCGTGGGTCAAGACCCCATTGGGAGGTCACATATCAGATATTTCCATTACAATTTATAGCAGTAGCAAAATTACAGTTATGAAGTAGCAATGAAATAATTTTATGCTTGAGGGTCACCACTATCCTATACTATATAGAAAACAAAATGCATAAGCCCTCGAGCATAGTACCAACGAAGAGCACTTTGAAGACTGACTAGGGACAGAACTTACCAAACCTATATTGCACATTAATTGGTCTTCCATACAAACGAATTCCATTCAGCAAAGCAATGGCATAAGACACAGATTCAGGATGCTTGAAGCAGACAAACCCAAAGGACTTCGGCTTTCCATCTCTATCTTTGCAAAGAGTCACTTTTGTTAGTGGTCCGGCCTGTAGGAAACTAAAATTATTTTCTCATAAATCCAAAGATTGTGTTTCTACACTGAGATAAATGAAATAGATTCAAGTTAAATTAAAATAAAGAACAGTCATAAATAGTTCCACAAATAATATATCTTCTCAATAAACAATGCAGCTATTCAACCTTTCTAGCTTATCAAAAAGATTTATGGAAAAGGAACTTATAGATTATAGTTTACATATTACAAGGAAAGAAAGACAGTTTTAGGCTTCACAAATCAACATAGTGAATATTTGAATCTCAGATGAAAAATAGTACTATCTCTCTGTACATGTTAGCAGTATATAACTGAAAAGTAAATTGTAATGAGAAAAATCATGCTGGTTGAGTTGGTTGAGTGTTCCTAAGAGAAACTAAATCTATTATGCAGTTTGACCTCATAACACTGCTTCATAAATATGCCCAAAGTAAATTTATTTTAATATTTTTAAGATCTGGTAGACTAGGTAAACTATCCATAAGAGTAAATAATTTAAAAATAATAACTAGAAATATTATTCCATGGTGAATTATTCAATGAGCATGAAGTACCACAAATTGTAAGTTGCAGAATGTGTGGCTAGAAAAACTTGTAATGGGTAAAACAAAGCAAAGAAACAAAGCTAAATACTAGAAAACATTGTTAATCACACCTGAGGAAAAATCATACCAATTAATTACTTCCATAACTGTGACTAGAGGGTATGTTCACAAAGACAGGAACTAACTTAGAGCTGTATATTTTAATGATTGTTTTTCTCTGCAGAACTTGCTTTTCATTCATAGGAAAGTACTGCCATCTTTACAATGGTGCTACAACTTGGATTTCAGTCTTTCTTCTCTGAATGCTTTGCCCAGGGACTAGCTCATGTTCTCTTTCTTTGAATAGGATGAAGTTAGCAAAAACAAATTTCCCCATTGCTGCCTCTCTGAGAAGACAGCTTCCTGAGATGCTGTGTCATGGAACTTCTCACTCAGTGCATTGGAAACCACAATCACTCTTTATCCTACTCCAAGTCTCTACATTTCTTGGCTAAAAGGACAAAAATATATTTGAATTTAAAAAAGGACATTGAGAAATTTGAAATAGATTATAAAAAATTCATAGAGTAATAAAGGACTTCTTCCGTTTTCTACTTTTTGCTTCCCTCTACTAACATCACAGTACAAAGTAGCAGACAAAGACAAGATTTAGTTATAAACACAAGTGCATACGTCTTATTTCCTAAGTGCTGGGGATTGAGCCTAGGAATTTAGGAAGGCAAGGCAAGTCCTGACCACTGAGCTACACTCCCAGTTCTGCTGTGACATTTTAAAGGTAAAATTCAACAGACTTTTCTGAAATCAACAATTACATAACTTTCTTTTGAAGTCAGAATGAGACCTTATCAGGACACGTGAAATGGAGTTTTGCTCATGTTGCTGATGTAAGTCATTCAAACGATCCTTTTCATTAACAGATTCTCCTTGGGCAAAATGAAAACATCGGCTTACTGCTTGACCCATTCCTTTATCAGGAAAAGGAAATTAGGAGATGCTATATATTGCCTTTTCTATACGACTAAAGCAGACCTATTTCTTACTGTCTACATAGCTCAGGTGTTTGACGATTTGAAATCCCAGAAACCATCACTCCTCACTGTCTCCCTTGGAGGTTCAAGAGGGATACTTTCTGGAGGAGCTAAAATTACTCCTTTTCTGAACAGGGATTTTCAAATCATATTGTGCCATAAAATAGATAATGATATTTTAGAGGGAACATGTTAAAATGGCAACAGATAAACATAAAAGTCTTAATGTATATAATCTTTAAATAATAAAAAAAATTTAATGTTTAGGAGGAGAGCCCTGCTACAAGTAAACAAAGGAATGTCTTACTTAACTTTAGAGACAAAGTGAGTCCTTTACATATTATTTAAAACAAAATAATCCTTCCACTGCTGGTAACCAAACTTTACTCTTGAAACACATCTGTTATTTTGTCTCTGAGAATTTCCCCTTATTTTGACCTTGCAAGTCACTCCTCATTTCTTTTTATTATTCTATTAGTAATAATAAGTATCATTACTAATAACAATTGTCCCATTTGCAGTGGCCAACGGCACTGCCTGTAGCTGTTTTACTGAGCTAAGTGTATTTCTGGCAATCGTATTACATTTCAGACACTATTACTTCCATTTGACATTGTAGGACACTGAGACTCAAATACTGACTGACCCCCCACCCCCACCCCAATCACACTGTAGACCTCAGGGCTCTTACTGTCAACAGTTTTCGCATACTATTTACGTGTCTGTTTTGCAGATGGGAAACAGTTTTGATATTCCCCTCTTTGGAGTCTCTTCTCGGCGGCACTTTCGATTTGCTCCATAATTCTGAGTCATTAACCAACTAGATGAGGGGATGAAGACACCTGTCTCTGGCAAGTTTGTTTACCAGGTCACAGAAAGGTCCGGGAGGCCCTCCGAGTATAAATTAATTACCTTGGCATGGACCAGGGAACCCAATAGTTAGTCATGGTGAATTGACTGCCTAGCATTTCAGCAATCACTTGTATGATTCTAGAACAAACTGCTTTCCCCATCATCAAAAGGCTTGGCGGAAAGGGTACTGGTGAGGGACAGGTCCCATATTCAGGTTGGACACAAGGGTACTTACTATCCCTTGGAGGCAGTGACGGGGTTGGTTTGTGTTCCCGCAGCGCAGCCAGGGCCCGCAGAGGCTCCGGGAGCCCTCACTTCGGGGCTGGCAGGCTGGGGGTTCGGGGTGGGAGGTCGTTGCCCTCCCGGGGCTGCAGAGGAAGGGGCATTCAAGCCCCTCATCCCCGGCCATGCACTTGTGTGTCCAAGTGAAGGAAGGGAGACCCGAGCTCCGCTGGGGCGGGGTCCCGGGGCTCCAGAGCCGCCGCCCCGCCTTCCCCGCGGACGGTACCTGAAGGAACAGCTCGTAAAGAATCTCTTCCCGCACTCGGGCCTCTAAATTGCCCACAAACACGGTCCTGTCAGCCTCCTCCTGAGCCGGGAACATCCCTGCGGTCCGCAGCCCTGGGGATGGAGGAGATGCCGAGGCCCCGCCCACTCGCTCCGCTTTACTGCGCGGCCCCGCCAGGGCAGCGGAGCCTGAGACGGGTGCGCGCTGTGGGCGGGGCAGGACGGGGAAACCACGCCCACAGGCCCCGCGGGAACCGCCCCGCTACCCTGCAGCCCCGCGCCCATCTGGCTGAAGATACTGTAACTGACCCAAGGGCTTGGCCAGCACGCTTGGAATAGTGCCTCTGTCTCTTCTTGAACAAGATTAATTATTGATTTTTAGGTCCTTTCGAACAATATTTGAAATGAAATTACTGGGAAGATGGTTTAAGTTTGACTAACCTCACTGTACATAAGCCAGGGGAATGAGTAAAGTTAATTTGTTCCTGAGGAGTAAATGGGTAGGTAGATCATTAAGACGGTAATGCTGTTATTGTAAAATGTAAAGAAATATCTACATGTATATTGATAGCAGAGAGAACTAAATTTAATATTTATCCATTAAGTGATCCCAAGATAGATCATTGAAAACATTATGTGATCTCTGAAAGGTCACCGAACTCGCGAAAACACTGTATCAATGAATCATTAGAAAATATCTACCAAGGACCGTGAAATCGTCCTGGAAAGATATTCTGTTAGGAGAACACAACTTGGCCTTTAGTTGGAGTGGTGGAAATTCATTTTGAATTCAGGAGACATGCTTCTGCTTGGTTGATTGATCAGATAATTCTTTTCTAAAGAAAAGGAAATGGTTGAGAAACTCTTACAGAAATGTTCAACCTCCTTAGCCATGAGGGAAATGCAAATTAAAACTTTTTGGAGATTTCATCTTACCACAGTTGAAGGGCCAAGATCAATCAGACAAATGACAGGACACATTTATCCATTCTCATGGGAGCCCAAACTGGTTCAGCTACTATGGAAATCCATGTGGCTTTCTCTTGGGAAGATCTGCCTCAAGATCCTCAGAATACGCCCAAAGTACCCTACAACCTGCTATGGAGTCATCCACGTCCATTGCTGCTCTATTCATAATTAGTATTCATATTAGACAAAAATTGGAAACAGTCTAGGTGTCCCTCAACTGATGCATAGATAACAAGAGAATGCAGCCCATTTATAAAATGGACTATTAGTCAGCTGCTAAAATTAAAATTAGGAAATTTCCAGCTAAAATAGATATTAGATGGGACGGAAAGCAATCATCCTGAGTGAGGTCACACACACACACACACACACACACACACACACAAAATAAATAAATAAAAACAACAACAACAACAAAAAACCCCAAAGCAAATGTGTGCCTCCTTTCATTTGTAGATGATAGATTTCAAGCTATCAACATGTATGCTACAATCTGAATATTCACAGAGTCAGATACCTAGTAAGGGGCCAGAGGAAAGGAGAGGGTATTCCAAGGAAAGAGAAATAGAATATGGTGCTACAAGAGATAAAGGTGAACTCAGAATAGGAGCATTAAATGGGGAAGGGCAAAAGAACAGAGGGAAGGAGTGTGGGACCAGCAACTAATGCTGAAGGCCATTAGAAAAACCTGTGGGAACCTACTACTGTAGACCCTTCCCAAATTATATACATATGTGAAAAATTTAAATAAAGACACCAACTAATATGAGAGATAATACTCTAAGTAGACATCTTATGCCACCAAGTAAAACCCCCCAGGTCCGTGGGTTATGGCTTATTTTATCATTGGTCAAAAGGATGTCAACCTATGACCCTAATTCTCAGGCTTTGGCCAAGGCTGTTGATTGCTCTCCATAGCTTGATGGTAAAATCCTATTGCTGACAACAACATTTAGGTCACCAAGCACAGAGAAGTTGAATTGGTGGACTCCCCCCCCCCTGCCCTGAATAGCACTCATGGTGCTGGAATTCACTCTGTGGACTACCATAAGAAAAAGGAAATTATAAATATACCCATTTACAAACCCTGTGACCTATAACAGTGAACTGCCCACAAAATACACTGGTATGATAGTGGCAAAATGTTTTGGGAGTAACCAGCCACTTTTTGATTGGATTTAAGGTCAACCTAATGAACTGGGACTCATGCCTGACACTGCTAAAGCGGCCAAGAATCCATGACTGAATAGCTCATGGACCTAAGGGCAAACATACTACTTTTATTTTGCAACCAAATGATTCTGAATGGCATATTGTTATATGCTACAAGCCAAAAGATCACACTGTGATTATACAGTCATCCTGTCATGAGAAACTCAGAATTAAGCATTCTCCTGATGGGTGAAATCAGTACAAAAGTTGTATTTGGCATTATAGTCTTGTGAGTGAAGTGGCTGTTTCTTGCTGTAGAGTTTTCCTTTCTGCAACAAACTTTGGGTTTACTTCCCACAGTTTAGCACTATCTGATAATTTACAGGGAACAAATTCCCCCATGCATTTGGAGTTTACTGATTACACTCCCTAGCTATGTGTAAAACCTGTTCTCCACTAATAGGTGCTAGTTTACTGATTACGTTCCTTAGCTATGTGTGAGACCTATTTCCCACTATCAGGCCCTTGTTTCCCCTCTCAATTGCAATTGCAGAGATATGCCTTCCTTCTACTGTCCTTATTTACAGGCATTTGATCAGTGTTTAGGGTCCATGGAAATGCATCCCATGTAAGACATTCCCAGATATCCAAGGACATAGAGTTACTACAAGCCCAGTTGTTTATTCATAGCTGCCTAGATGGATAGAAAAAAAATAAGCATGTCTTAGCTTTACCTCCCTGGCAGACAGAGAATCAATTAACCTAAACTAACTCTGCACTAAAAGATTCTCAAACTTCTTGTTTTATTAACTCAAGATTTTAGCTCAGAGATTTACTGCTCCCTCCTGTTTCCCCCAAGAATATAAAGACAAAGGTAATCAATCCATTTGTAAACTTTCCTGAAGGCCTGTGCTGCCACTGAGGCCAGAGCACTGGAACGAGCTATGTTTTGTTTCTCGTACAAATTAAACCTAGACACTCTCTGACTTACAGCTCTAAGGAACTGATGCTAAAAGTTTCTCTTAGCGGTTTTAGTTTATTACTCTGTGTGTAAATCTTATCTGCCTTGCTGACCCTGAGAAACTCAAGCCTCCTCACATTGTATTGTTAAAAGAATTACTGTTGCAAACATGTATACACACACACACACACACACACACACACACACACACACACACACACACACACACACACAGGGACCCCGAAGAACTGGGAAAGAGGTGAGAAGAACAGAGAGGGAGAGAGAGAGAGAAAGAAGAGGGAAGGGAGAGAGAGAGAGAGAGAGAGAGAGAGAGAGAGAGAGAGAGAGAGAGAGAGAGAGAGAGAGAGAGAGAGAAGGAAGGAAAGGAAGAAAGATGCAGAGGAGCAGCTGTGTGTGAGTCATTTCCTTTCCTCCCTCAGATTTTAGTTTTTTCTCTTATTTGTAGTTCCTTTTTTTTTTGAACTGTGAGCAAAAAATTTAAAACAAAAGATTTTGGTAGTTATACCCATAGATCAGTGCCTCACTTAGTCTTCATCAGAGAAACGTTTTTTTTTTTCTTGAATAAGTGGGAATTAACACAGAGACAAGCAACTGAACAATATACAGAGAGTACGTGACTTGATAGAAGTTGGTGCTAAATGAAATGTCTTCAAAAGCCCCACCCACCGAGGCTTGGAGATCTAGGAGGGACAGGAAGAAGAATTGTAAGAACCAAAGATGGTGGATAACTCCAAGCAAATAGCATCAGCTGTATTCCACAGGTCTGGCACACATATGAAATCACTGAGGCTGTAATAACATGCAAAGGGCCCAGCACTGAGAGGGGGAAGTTGACATGGTCCCACACCTAACCAAGAAGCTATTTGTGATTAATACCTGCTATCAGTCCAATTTTACTGTATTATTAAAGCTTTCACTAAACAAGTATTTTCAAAAAACAAATTTTGTTTTGAAGTTGTATTTGCAGAACAGCTATTGCTTATTCTTGCCTTCTCAACATTCTTTCTGGGACAGAAAATAAGAGGAAAACTAAACAAGCATGTGAACAGAAAATCAGTAATGATTTTTACATGTCTGTTTGTCATATTGAAAACAAAAATGTTAGTACTCAGCATCTGTACTGGCCTGTCCTTGGGGTTCTGACAGGATACGCCCTTAGCTGCAGCCACTAAGAGCACAGCCTGGGCACATTTACTACATACTTTTAAAAGGGCCCTGCCCACCTCCTCTCTCTTTTGTCTGTCTGTCTGTCTGTCTGTCTGTCTGTCTGTCTGTCTGTCTGTCTGTCTGTCTGTCTGTCTCTCACTCCCTCTCTTCCCCCATCTGTTCCTTTTCATCTCTTCCTCTCGTTTACCTTCTCCTTCTCTTTCTCTCTCTCTGTGCTTGTCCCCAGAGGCTGGTCTCCCTCCTTCCCTTTCACCTTTTTAAGAGCCTTTTTGAATAATAATAATAATAATAATAATAATAATAATCCCTTCTGCTTGAACTCACCATTGCATGGCGTCTTTTCTTTTGCGCTCTTTTTTTTTAATACAACAAAAAATATTTTTCCTTTTCTAATTTTAGCTCCAAGAGTCAAGCTAGAATCTAACATTTAAAAAATAACCACTATGCTTTAGATGCATAATGACAAAACATAAAAAGCTGGACAGCTTCATGGGTGTGGATTTTGTTATTGATTTTTAGCTCTGTAAAGAACTTAGTTTGTAATCAAAATGATGATAAAACACAACTTTCCCCAACTCTTTCCATTTCTGGCATTTCTAGCAACATATGTTTTTTTTTTTTTTTCTATGCTTTCCAAAAACATATCCTGCCATGCCACTTCTGAAATCCTGAGGTTAAGGAGTAAAGACATCTTTAATTAGGTTTCCCATTCCCTTAAATTTTACTTGTGTAGCTAAACATTTGTGAGCTATTACAGATTCTTTGGCTTAAACATGATCTCCTAACACAAGCCAGCAGGAGACAGCAGACTCCCTCACCTTTTGCAGACGGGGAGGAGCAAGAGTCATTTTTATAGAAAAGCTCGACCGACAGAGACCATCCTATCCAACAAGAACCTTAATGAATTCTAGAATATCTTTTTGGTGAATCCCAGTGTTTCTTTTACAGTTTCTGATTCCAAATGAGAATATACATTTTTCTGTGTGTGATGTGTTGGGTAAGATCAGGTAAGATGTTTATTAATCACTTATTAAATGCTTGTAAAATAATTAATATGGTTTGTATTCTGTTTTGCCTGCCATTATAATGTGAAAAATTGGCTGATTATGGTATTTACACTAAACCAAATTGCAATTAAGAGGGTATGTATGTGCACTTTTATACATGTACATGTGTTTGGTAAACTGAAGCTCTATGTTGTATCGATTTGTTGGAAATTAGAGAACAGCTATTCAACGAGGAAATAAATAGAAACATTCAAGATAAAAAGTGATTAGGCAGTAAGGAATTAGTTCAAGGTTTGAAAATCATGACTTACTATATATATTGCTTTCATTTCATTTCATTTCTTTGAACATCTTATGTTTGAAGAGAATTGTTGAATAGATAATTTATCAGTTGCAAAGCAAAATTATCAATACAGCTGGACTTTTCTTTTCCTTGTTTCACATAATACAAGTCTCAAACTGTCTAATGGTTGTAGTCAAGAACTTTAATTCTTCTGCTGGTTGGTAACTGTGATAAAGTTTGCTAATGTTAGTAATGTGACTTTCTATTTTATAGGTGAACTTCTTGTTCTAGCATGAAGAAGAATGACTTGTTGGTTACGGTTGAACAAGCCATTCTACTTTCTGTAAATAAAAATAGTAGCAAATTCAAAGTTGAGATAAATATTAACCCTCTGGTGGAATTTTGTGAAAGACTATTTTCTTGATGTCTTAAATGTCTTTAATAAATTCATAACTATAACTCTAAAAACCATGCTATATCAAGTAGAAATAAATATTTGCCTTTATTTTTCAGTTGAATATTTGTACTACTTGTACTTAGTTTATATTGTACATCTTATGCAGCGGGGTATTTTTTTAATGACGTGTAAATTATCAGCATCTTGATTTGAAAGCTAGAGAAATTGAACACTATGCCAGCAGACTTAGTTATCCTCTAATATCATAGTGTATAGTTATATTGATATCATTGTTTGTACACTTTAGTGTAGACTTTCAGGGGTTATTTCTTTGACTAGAACTAGCCAGTTTCCTAAGTTTCCAACAGGAAAAATAGAATTATAATTGTTAAATATTTTTTATTTCTGTCAAAAGTTTAGCTCATTTATGCTTATTACTAAAATAGAAAAGCAAGACTTGTAGATACAGCAAACAGGAGATGTAAAAATGGAAGACTTTTATCATTTGAAAGATCTTTTTAACAGATGTAGTCTTAAGTTTCATTCATTAAAAAAAATTGGAATCGATTTTCAATAGCCTATTCCTTTTAATCATCTTCCATCTGCTTGCAGTTTGTCTTTCTTCACTGGAGATTCTGTTCTATGGTGTCCATAGTTGGTCTTTTTTGTCAACACCAAACATTATTGATGAGGTCTGCACTCTACAAAAGTAAAAACATCCCAGAAATTAAAATGAGTACAACATTTAATATGTATTTATAGACTACAGGGCAAGGAGAAAGGGAGATAAACATATCTATCTATCTATCTATCTATCTATCTATCTATCTATCTATATATATATATTCAGATTATATTCACATATATTCTTATTGCAGTTACTACCTGCTGAATTTGCAGTTTTTGTTATTTCTGCTGTTCTTCTAATAAGGCCAGATTTAACTATCATGACATAGCTTGTAATTTCCTATGTTTTAGTCCTGTGGGAAACATATTGAAGACAGGTTTATTCAGCCCTCCTTTTCTATGTCATAGCTGAAAAAATTGACAGAGAGATTTGGAAATATGTTTTTCTAAAATTATAGACCTTGGTCTATGCTTTATAGCTTAAATAGGAATTTGGTTAAAATGCAGATCTTTTTTGTAAATTTAAATTTTTATGGTATTGCATACATAAGTACTATATTTAAATCATTTCTACCACATCTTCTCTCCTTTTATATCCCTCCTTTTATATCTACTATCTCACTCTTCATAATACTAAAGTACCCATATCATTCTTGCACTCCCAAGAAGCAGTGTGTAAATTACAATAAGAATATTATGGCAAAAACCCAGAGGCCGCACTCTTTCCATGAGATAACTGAATGTTAACAGTGATCCAGGGAAACCTTTAGTTCAGTATGTTAGGATGAGCAGAAGTATCTTCAAAGATAACTTGAGAAAGTGTTTCCATTTATAACGTGATGATCAGCTCTTTGTCCAAGTACAGTTCAACTAAGAAGCCTCTCACTAGAAGCATTACAGCTCTACATTCAGTTGTAGTACGTTACTACAATGTGTGACTAACTGCCACACAAACATTATGAAATTGGACAATTATTTAACCATCATCAGTTTGTTTTCATATATACAACATCGATGCATTATCTGCATATGTGTGTACATACATATGCATATGAGTGTGCTTTCTTTCTTTTTTGAGATTTTTATAGATGGGTACTGTAGCTTTGTCATTTCAACCTCTCTCTCTCTGCTCCAATTCCTCCCATATTCCCTTTTGTGTGACCTGTAGACATCTGATCTTGTACAAATTCACTTCCTTCACTCAATGACTGAAGGACCAAATACTAAATATACGTAAGGCAGGGCAGTGATTACTAAGGAACCGTAAGTCATAGTTACCATTGTATTTATGATAAAACTTATTTTAATTTATGAACTGAAAATATGTGTTTTTTTTTTCTAATAGACCTTTTAGAACGGAAGTATTGAGGGAGTGTGGGAAAAAATGCTTGGCTGTTTTATGATGTGTGCATTGTTCAGTGGCTTTGTCCTACACAATTATGGGCCTACTGCATTCTCAGCCTATACAACCCTGAAGGTCACCAGGCAGATGATGTTTTTAGCTGTTGCCAAGTGAGAATGAGTTTGAAGTTAATGACTGTAATACTAGATGAGAGAGCACTGCTGTGGCAAGACAACCACCCAGTTAAGTGAAATAAGCAAGAAAATTTTGTTTCAAAGAGGATGGAAATGGAATGATGGTTACTGGAGGCACTGAGGGATAATGGACGGGGGTGGAGGGGCCCTCCAACAGATACAACAGTACAGCAAGTGTACTGTGCAATGCAAGATAACAAGAGGACCTTGAGTGTAATCACCGTACATAAGTGGCAAACGAGGACACAGATATGAATTCCTCTAATTGGATCTTTACACAATATATATAGCTGTATTGAAACATTATACCCCACTTCTTTCTATTCATCTTATGTGTTCAGTTCCGTGGGTTTGGCGTTGTTATGTGTAGCACAAGAATCATTTTTATCAAGCCTCGTTATCTGCAGTATGGCATTCATTCGTCTTTTGCATAAAATGTTCCCTCCTTATATAGCTCTAAGTCCTTAACTTAGAATTGCACTGCACATGTAAGTTTTAGTAGAATTAACCCTGTATACATTTGGACCGTGGTTTAGCTCCATGTTTAATCAAATCTTCTCCGTTCTTATGTAAGATACTTTTGCCCTTCAGTATTTATTTTATGTGAGTATATATTTCTTTTTCTTATCTTTTCTCCAGTGTTTTGTTCATTTTTCCCCCTGTGGTCTTCTTCTCTTCTTATAATTCTCCCCCTGTACCCTCCTTCTTCTACTCTGCTTTCTTCTATTTTTAGAAGAACCACCAAATGTTCACCACCATCACCCCTTTTCAACTAGTTTAAAATAATGTATGACTTCTCATTACTTTAAAGTTTTGTATCAAATGCCACTGAATCCAAGTATTTTAAAATTTATTACTAGATGCATTCCTTTTCACTTGAGCTCCCAAAGTAGCTGCTTGAGTCACAAGTTCTGCCATGAGACCCAATCCTAGGCCTAGGCTGACTGGGTGTTGAGTTTGTCCTAGAATGGATTTAAAGAACCTTCATAGATAACCAGTCAAAATGAATTAAAAACACCCCAAAGCAACAAACAACAAAACTCCTCCCCCGCAAAATATTCAAAACCATATCAAAAAAAAAGTATTAGGGTAGGAAAAAGCTACCAAAAGAAAATAAAGGAGATTTGGAAAATATAAATGTAATTATAAAAATATTAATTGAAATTTCCATTTGTCTGTATATTTTAAAAACTATAGTTCATAATTTTTAGTACTTATATAATCCTAACCATATATTTCCTATACCAATTATTATAAATATACTTACTTTTTAGTATTTATATCCTTATTTTTAAGTTAGAATGAAATGTGACACAATAAAAAGCAATGACTTGTACTACTAATAATTGTTAAAAATAATTCACACTGTTACAGTAGATCCCCTTGTACTTTCTTACTCTTAATAGGATAATTATCACTAGGATTTTATCATTTTAATAATCCATATTTCTATTTGAAATATGCACATATATTAAGTAATGTGTGAAGTAATATTAATTAAATTTGAAGCAATTCTAATTAAAATTATCTTCTCTTGTTCTTTTTTTATTGTATATGTTTTTTTTTTTGTGTGAGGAGATTATTTAGCAGTTTTGAATTTATGTTGTTGGCCAAGTGTGTAGTTCATGTGTGTGAATGTATGTTTCTGTTTGATATTTGGGATGGCTTGAAGAAATGGTATATACCTGTAATTCCAGAATTTATGGAGTTGAGGTTGGAGGACCACTGAGAATAGGAGTTCAAGACCAGACCATTCTAGGGAAATAACTGAGACTCTGCCTTAAACAAACAAACAAAAGCAAGCTTTACTTTTGTATACTTGGAAAATTCTTAGATCATTACTATTCTGTATCCTTTTAAAATAGACTGTTAGTTACCAAGAATCTCCATTTAAAGTCTCAGGGGCTACACTTCTGTCAATCTGATGAACTGTTTCAAAAGGAAAGATTGTCATCATCACTACTCTGTTTGTAACCTGAATTTTCTGTCTTGGTATTTTTAGGGCACTTACATTTTCCATCGAAAGTCAATAAAAATCTTGGTGAGTTTGACTGAGTGATTTTTTTCCTTATAATTTGGTGAGTTTGCAAACCATGTTGTGCAACTATGTGCTTAGTTAATGAAGCAGGCCTCCTCCTCTCTTCCTCCACCAAGTGACTCTTCTCAAGGAACAGGAACACATTTTTCATTTGCATAATTTCTTTCCACCCTTTATCTTCATCTCTTCATAGTTTTAACACTTCCTTCTTTCATGTGTTCCTGCAGAGGGTGATTTACATGTTTTATTTAATTTTATAATGTGAATATTTACTATTGAATTGCCTTTTTTCTTAATTGGATTTCTAATTGTCCTGTTCTTTTCTTGATCCCCCCTTTTTAATAACTTTTAAAATTTACCTCAATAGCATCTTTCTCTTGCTCTTCAGATGACATTGTTTTGTTCTTTTCTGAATAGGAGTCCTGTAAAAAAAAATAGCAATTAATTCTACACCTGGAAATAGATTCAACATTTTTCTGATGACTATTTAGATGTCTTTATCCTTATTTACATAAAAGGAATTTTACTGCTTAATTACTTATTACTTCTTCTAGGACCAGATAAAGTCTAGCAGGACTTGTAACCAAGCAGCTCTTTGGATTATCTGATTTTATTTCACACTTGTCCAAACTCAGTGATGAATGAGGTTGATGTATATGACTCCTACAATTTGTTCAGCATTGCAAGTTCATATCAATCATGGGTTTACACATTCCTCCTTATATCCTCATTTTACTCTGGTACTTACTATTTATGCAGGATCAAAGCTCTTCCAATTACATATCCATTATCAAACTGGGAATATTATGCAAGTGTTTTAAGTCCTAGATTGACTTCTTTCCTCTGAATTACTGTGGCAATAAAGTGTCTGTACTTTCAAAATTAGAATCATCATAAGTATTCTATCTTATGTGCGATATTAAAATAATGTTTGTTCTCTTTTGTTTTCATATGAACAATTTTTAAATTTTAATTGCTGATTGAAGCTTATTAATGCCTTTAAAGTATTTGACAAGTACTGAAAAATTTATTTACTATATAGAATTACCAAGTTAACATTCTAGAAGTAGTACAAACTTATGCCCTCATAAAACTTTTATACTTATGTTTATTCCATAATTCACAATTCTGCAAATCTATGAAGAGCTAAATATAAAGCAGCCATTATTTCACCATCTTAATATAATTGCTGCTGTTGAGCATTTTTAGTTATTTTACTTTCTGGCCTTCATCCTTCTAGGATGGGAAGATGACTAGATGAATAGGTAGAAAGATGATAGATAGATGACTAGAGAAAGACAGATGATAACAGATAATGGTATTTTATTCTTTGTGCCACTGTACAAAAGTCTGTGATTAATATCTTCAGAATCAATGCAATTGTCTATTTTATTAATTCAATTATTATAAAATAATTTTAATACTTGCATGTGATATATATATATATATATATATATATATATATATATGACACATACACATAAAACTCCAAAACAGCATTTTATTATTGCATTCTTTCAGCATTTATTCATATGTATTTTGTGCATCTACATTCATCAATTTTATTGGAACGATTTCTCTCCTCTTTCTCTGTCCTCCTTTTCTGTGCTCTTTCTCTTTTTCTTCTCATGGTCTTGCTATCTCACCAAGGCTAACCTTAAACTAGTGGAATTTTTCACTACTTTTAAGTTTATAAGCAAAATGGTATAACATTATTTTTACTTGTATTAATATGAGTAATGGTGAATTAATTTTTCAAAGTATGGATATTTCTGTAAATCATTTGTGAAAATTCACGATAAATTTATCTACCTTTACTGCTGACCGTCCCATGTGATTAATAATAGCAATGATTTCAGTCTGACACATCTATTTTATTTTAAAGGAATGTTTGTAATTTTTAAACTATCACAATTGTTCATGTTTGTCATCATTTTTATCACTTATAGTTCAGGAAGTCATTTTGCTTGATCCATGTACGATTTTAGCATTGTAGTTACTCAGTAAATAATGTTAAAGAGGCAATGAAATAGAGTTCTCCTGTTCATTTGTATTGTATCATACCAATAAAACTGCAATCTTATCCTAATGCTCAGATTAACTTTTTTTTTCTTTACAGAGAATAATAAAACATGTCTTGAGTTCTCAAAATTAAATGCAATGAATTCCTTAAAAGATTTGTTTTCCCCCAAACTAAAGGTAATTCTGATGATGTATACAAGGGACAATCTAAACTGTGCAGAACCACTCTTTGAATCTAATAACTCCCTTAATGTACGTTTCAACATATCAAAGAAAACTGTATGGGTTATCCATGGATACAGACCATTGGGCTCCACCCCAACATGGCTTTCTAAGTTTACTAAGGAGTTTTTGAAACAGGAAGATGTGAATCTCATTGTCGTAGACTGGAACCAGGGTGCCACAACTTTCATTTACAGTAGAGCTGTTAAAAACACCAGAATAGTTGCTGAGAGTTTGAGACAATCCATGCAAAATCTTCTGGTAAGTTTGAGAAATTTGAAGTATACATGCTACATAATATATGGTTTGTTGTGACACCATGAAATTAATACTTTTTTCCCAGAAGCATTTGGAAGTTCTGCTTAGACATAGAGATAGTGATTTTTTTTTGCCTTGTTTTGTCTATTCTAAATAATAATTTTAAATGTTTTAAAAATGTGAAAGCTTTTTATTTTAAACTCTTAAAAGTTTAAAGCTCTTTTGAACTCCCAATTTAGGATGAATTAGTGATCTTATGTGGGGAGTAGATATTATTGTAATCTCATTACATTTTTCAGTCATCTTTGCTAAGAGCTAGCTAATGTGTTTGTGGTGAGTCAAATGGCAATTTGTAAATATATAAGGAAAAGGTTTCCTTTGGAAAATAGTCTACTCCCAACTCTGAATGCAGCTCTTGGTTTCGCTCAAGTCTGTCCTGCTTGAGATGGATCAAAATTCAAGGCTGGTTGGAGGTTGTATGTTTTTTGAATAATTTTTGTTTCCTTTGCCAACCTTTATGGTAGTTTGTATCTGACCTGAGAATTGGCAGCTATCGTAAAGTTTTCAAAGAAAGGTAATATTTTATTTCTTTGGGCATTCTTAGTTTTGAAGTCTGAATTTTTGTTGTAGTGAGCTTCCAAACCTATGCTAAGTTGAACTAGTATAATATAAAAGCCTCCATACCCAGAGTTTCTGATTGTAGAGGATCAAGGTTTGAGACTGTCACATTTAGTCTGTGTGAATTTGAGCAGTCATTTTACCTCTCTGCCAAATGTCTTTGTTTATACATTCCAAGTAACAAAATTCAATTGTATGTTACACGAATACTAAGTTAATACATACATACATACATATATATATGTATGTATGTATATATATGTATGTATGTATATATATATATAGGTTTAATCAAGGCATGACATTTACTAAACAGCATGCAAAATCATTTTTCATTATTAGTTTTGAATCTACAATTTAAAAAAATATTATGACCCAAGAGATAAGAGTCAAGTAGAGAGTTTAAGGAAAAATGATAGCATTTTGCTTGCAAAGGATTTATAGGCGCTGGGAGAAAAGCAGTCATAGATTTGTGGTTTGGAGAAATAACTCCTTCAGCTTTGGGGACATTACTTTGAGGAATTTGAAGAACAGGATTGCTCTGTACTGGAAAAAGTTCCTCTCTAGTTCTCTAATAATGGTGAAAGTTGAAAATCATTTTATGAGCCTTTGGACATCACTGTGTAGTCTGGACCATCACCAAGTCTATTAGCTTCATGGGAGTCTGTGGGAAGAAACAAACTCAGTGAGCTCACAAAGCTGACTGCCAGGGCAAACAGATATTCACACATCAATCTAAGATGTCTTAGATTGTTTTTCTGTACTATGTCACCTGTCATCCTGGCACCCACCTAAATCCAACCATGTCATTTTAACATTTCAAAAGAGTGACTTTTATACCTTATTGATTCTGCTAGGAGATGTTGAAACACTCTGACAGGAAGATAGAAGAAGGCTAGCATATATTTTGCAATCAAACTGATTCACACTTTATCTTAGTCCATTTGAGCTATTATAACACTGTAAAAATGGCCCTGTATGCAAAGACATATCTCACAGTTCTGCAGACTAAGAGGCCTAAGAGCAAGGGCCTGGGGATTCTGGGTCTGGCAGATATCATTTCCAGGTTCAGAGTTGGTATCTTTTCACAGTGTTTTTGCATGATGGAAGAGCCAAATAAACTTCTTTAGGTATCCTTTATCAGGACATTAGCCCCATTCTTGAATGCCCCACTCCCTACATCATAACATTGAGGTTTAAAATTTCAGCATATTAATTTTCAGAGGCACAAGCATTCAGACTTTAGTGACTTAAAATGCATTTTTATATGGAGCTTTGTACATGTCTGTAACTTCTGAGGCTGTTTCCTTAATAAGATGAGTATACACTGAATGTTATTTAGTTAGTATTTAACAGGTGCCAGGTGAAGTTTTGAGTAGTAGGATAAATATGAATAACTCAATGTCAATCAGTAATATTAAATATGAAACTTACAAAGCACACTTTGAGGTACTTAGTGCAAAATAAGTATCCAATCATGCCTATTATTACTATTTGGTCATTAAACATTTTGATAATTAAATATTATTTTATATATCTCTATATTATGGATGATTGAAACTTAAATTTGCAGGTTAAGTTAATGGTACTACTGGAAATGAATAAGGAAAAATCAGATATTTCAGGATGCAAGCTGAGAAAGCTAGTGTCTTTTCAAAGTTGCAAGTCCTTTCCTTATATCCCAGAAATATATTATATCAGAATCAATCATGAATTTCAGAATGTCACTATATTATGAATAATTTGTGATTACACAAAATATTATGTTCTATTTTCAATTACAGAAGCATGGAGCATCTCTTGACAATTTTCATCTCATAGGCATGAGCTTAGGAGCTCATATTAGTGGTTTCGTAGGAAAACTACTTCATGGAAAACTTGGAAGAATTACAGGTAAAACTAATATTTTTCCCTTTGAAAGCCTATTATTTTAGCACATTTCCCCACTAGATTTGTTTTATTTAAAACCTGAATGCACTGCTACAAACTATATTCAAATATTACTTTTTACTAGACTTTTTATTCTCCCATAGTGATTATGAAGAACATGAAAATCAAGTATTGAGTTCTGCAGCTTTAAATGTCAAAGACTACATAGGGAAATTTGTATCAGCTAAAAACATTAGCTATATAGTTCATTTTCACAAACACTATTGCCTTTTAATTATTTCAAGCATTCATTGCAATACCAGATAGATTAAAGGTTACTACTATTCAAGTGTGAGGCATGCTCATTCTCATATTCACTCAGATTTACACAGTAAACTTAGCTGTAGTTAGAGGCACCAACCACATGGTGCTACACAGATATCCATTCTTTGTGTGGATCAGGTTGTTAAGAATTTATTCATATCCACATTACTAGGATGCTTGTAATTCCAGCTATTTATAAAGGATAACATTATCTTAATCTTAATTAAATCTCATAAAAGAAAGGAAAGGTGAAGTTAGTCATATTAATACATGTACTTACTTACTAATTATTCTACTGCCACACAACCATAAAAGTCTAAAGACCAAAAATATAGATTTCTTACATTAGAAATATTTGTAGGAAGAGGGTTGCAGGGATCTCTGTCAAGAAAGCTAAAAAAAAAAAAAAAAAAAAAAAAAAAAAAAAAAAATAGGGACAGAAGAAAAGTCTGAAGTGAACAAGAGTTAAAGTAACATTGATTTATATAGGAATGTGGGATAGAAAACAACTGTGAATAACAGTTATTTTTCCCCTTCTGTCATGTGACTCTGGGAAATTGGATGTATCTTCCTCATTGAGCCAAATTTGCTTCCCAACCCTTTGCTATTAGAAAGTCATGATCTTAGAATCTTAGTTTAGAATTCATTCTACATAATATCACATTTTGTGGAATTTATAACATTCTTTCTTAAGGATGTATAGGAAACTCTTGGGAGAGGTGAATGCTAAGAAAATAGTAAATTTGTCTCATTCATTAACCTGAATAGGACTGATATGTAAAAATTATTTTAAGCCTATAGACAGATATAGGATGAGGCTATTAAGGTGAATAATTCAAGAGAGGTTCAGATGGTATTCATTAACTTTTTTCCTTCATCAGAAGGGATCCCAGTTACTATTAAATATAGAGTTTCATAGCTTACTCCATCTGCTCTTTAGATAAAAATGCTAAAATATCATAATATCCTATTGAGATATTTCTCCTGCTTTTGGGCCACCTTTGAAAGTTGCAAATAATATTTAAATAATGAAGATACTTGTCATTTGTCAAATTTAATAACTTTAGATAAGTTTGGACAGCTTTAAACAAAAATTGCAAATACTTATATTTATAATTGACATACTGCAAGTGTAAAATGTAACAAAAATAGTAAAAAAATAATTACATTAATAGTTTCTGTTTTGCATTTCAGGTCTTGATCCTGCTGGACCAAAATTTGCTGGGAAACCATCAAATAGCAGATTAGATTACACTGACGCAAAGTTTGTGGATGTCATCCATACTGATTCTAAAGGTAAAATAATATGTATCTATGAGTTTTGTGTTTAAAAGAAAAATGTGGAATGTAGATTCCAAGGAAGAGGTTGTAAGATATGGGAGAGCTGTGGGTAAAGTGTAAAATATTTGGGGTTCAGTGAGTTTTTTTTTTCTTTTTGCATTGGCTTCTGGCTTCTGGTGTTGTTTGCATTGTGTTTATTTATTTATTTATTTATTAATAGGTTCTGAGAAGTGTCTTATCACTGCAAACATCGAAAATTCATTTTAAAATAATTAACTTCATTTTATACTGGTGGTCATTGAGTTGGCAATATTTCTTGTCATGCTCAGTGCTTCTATTTAGGTTACTATTCATTTTTCTTTTATTGTGTATACCAACTCGAGCTGACACAACACTATAACCACAGATAAGCAGTATTTTTCTATAAGGAGAGGACAATTTGTCTATTGAATTTAATTGTCTTTATAAAGCTCTCTAATGGGATGTTGGTACCATTGGTTAGAAAATGTTGGATACATTCATTTGAAGAATTATTTTTTTCCTTTATTTTTTTATTTAATTTTATATAACAAAGTCCAATTAAATGAAAACAAACATTTATACACAATATTTGGGAATTTAGGCGTCGTTCTTTCCAAACTACTTCCTGCTGGTAAGGGGTGCTGTTTTGGGGGATTCGAAGAAGATTCAGGAGACTGTCCTGAAGTGTCTTTTTTTAATGACTGAATGAGTGAGTTTATTTAGTTGGATGGTGGTTTTGATGCCATTATGGATAAGAACCTGGTGATACTAACATTGGCTAAACTCTTCATACATAGCAGCGAGTCTCCTGATTACTCATCACTTCAATGTTATTTTCTGCCAGCATGTCATATAACCAATTTTATAGTTGCACTACTTACAATAATAAGAAAATAGAAGCAATCTATCCAGGAATGGATAAGCACATTTGGAAATCTATATAGCTATGAAGAAAAATGAAATCATGACAATTGCAGGAAAACAGGTGGAAAGGAAAATCATTATGTTAAGCAAGACAAGCCAATCTTAGACAAATCTCTGTTTTTCTTTTTGTTTTCCCAGTCTAGATTTAAAATAATATATGTGGGGGTTGTAGAGATGGCTCTGTGGTTAAGACCATGCACTGCTCTCGCAGAGAATCAGGATTTTGTTTCCAGTGCTGATATTAGGTTTTCCACAACTTCCCCATAACTCCAGCTCCAGAAGGTATCAAATACTCCTGGCCCCCACAGACACCTGCAGCCATGTGAATATGCCCAACTCAGACATATGAATCATTAAAATAAATCTTTAAAGTTATTTTATATATGTTTTTATATGTGTGTGTACGAGTGTGTAGGTCCTCAAACTACAAAGGGAGTTATAAGAGTGGGTGGAGGGACATTATGATAGAGGTGAAGGGGTAAAAGAGTGATGATTATAAATACCTGTAAAGAAAGGACCAAGGGCAACTATCTAGGGGAACAAAGGGAACTATTGGGAGGGACCAGGTTGTCAGGGAGGTCAGTTTGAGAGGAAAACAATTGAGAACAAATATGAGATACAATGTATGAAAAGCCATGAAACATCATCACTTCGTATCATAACTTATAATCAGAGAAGTTAATTTAAAAATCAAATCTTTAAAAGCTGTGTCTGCTATACACATCTTCCATGAACCAAAGGACTGACTGATCTAAGCTCTTCAAACTGGCTTGTGAGTTCATGATAAATACCTGCTGTTTCCCCCTGATGGCTGCCAGCCTTGTTTCTATCCTATTTCATTGGCACGTGTGTGTTCTGACCCAACAGGTGCATCTTATTTTTTGGCTTTCACGTTGAAATCCCTCCAAATAGCTGACTTTCTTTTAGGGCAGCAGTTCTCAACCTTCCTAAATCTCTGAGCCTTCTGTGGGGATATATTGTTTATGGTCCAATAAAGCTTGCCTGGAGATCAGAATGCAAAGCTATTTGCAGCTAGAGTAACTGGGTAACCCCAGGACTCAGGATAGAGAGAGAGAGACGGAGGGCTCTCTCTGAGTTCAAGGTTATCCTGGGATACATGAGAGTGAATCAGTCTAAAAGAGAAACAGAGCTCCTGCCTTTAATCCCAGTACTATAGAGAATATAAAGAGCTCAGTGTGGTCTCAGGGGGCAGTCTGAGGTTTGATGAGGATCAGTGCAGTCTGGACATGCAATCTCCTTTTTGGTGTAGCACCCCTTAAGTCTGAGCATTGGTAGAGGTGAGAGCTCTCAAGTGGCTGGCCACTTTGTTTTTCTGATCTTCAGCTTTACCTGCAATATCTATCTATGATTTTTCTTTATTCATGTTACACCTTCAATACAGTTCTTCATGTTGTGGTAACCCCCAACAGTAAAATTATTTTTGTAGCTACTTCATGACTATAAATCTGCTACCTTTGTGAATTGTGATGTAAACATTTGACATGCAGGATATCTGATGTGACCCCTGAAGGGATCCATGACCCATAGGTTAAGAACCACTGTTCTAGGGTCATATTTAGAACTCTATCATTCTTTGCTTAAATTCAACAAGTGAGTGAGTAGGTTATAGGGCTGAAAGAGGGGTTCTCCATTGTACAGTGAAGTCACATGGGCTTCTATGGAGTATGAGGGCTTCTAGTAGAATAATTGAAGATGGCCTTTATCTTATATATCCAACACCCTTCCATCTGCTTCTGACCCTACATGACCTGCAGTTTCACACGGGTAATGAGTTCAGAATTTGAACCTTCTCCAGAGCCCTGGAAATTTTTAGAAGATCATAAATCAGAGCCCTACGGCCTCATGCCCCCCTAGCTCAAATTGTCCCTATGAAGTCAACAAGCTTTGTAGGTTTTGCCCCTGAGTAAATCTAACAGCAGCAAACCCAAGGGAGTAAAGAATCACACTGGCCTGAGAGAAGGATGGGGAAGGAGGCAGGAAAGAGACAGAGGCAGCATTTGCTGAAGACACAAGAAACTAACAAAAATAGAACATAGCATTTATCATTGATTCAGTCTTCTGAAGAGCGAATCTATTCGATGTTAGCAGATTTTGTTACATACGGTTGCTCAAATAACGTTATATGCTTTATAATTTTATGGATGCTTTTCCCCCTAGGTTTAGGCATTCTAGAGCCATTGGGACATGTAGATTTTTACCCAAATGGAGGAAAACAACAGCCAGGTTGTCCTACAAACCTTTTTTCAGGTATATTGAAAGTAAATTTATTCTTTTTTCTTTTACTGAAAATAGATTTGTTTTCATACAATATATAATGTATTCTGATTAAAGTTACACATGATACAAAATGATATGTGGAAACAATTTGTCATTTAACTTTCTTAACTTGTGGATAATAATATATATATATATATATATATATATATATATATTGCTAAGGCGTAGTGGAGTTATTGGCAAGAAATAATTTAAATTGATACCATTCAATATGCATAGGTTACTAGCATATAAAACATTTGGTCAACGATGAAATCTTTTTTGTGTGGTTTCAATAATTTATGTTCATCATTTTAAGCACAAAGAGGAGTTTTAAGTCATCTAGGAAAACACATGTAGCTAATGTATCCTATAATTTGAATGTGATCCCACAATTTTGCACTTATAATCAGCATATAACAACCTTGACCACTTGGTTGTCCCATACATGGATTGATTCATGGCCTCTGAGTGTGGAATGGGCCTAACTTCAGCACTGTAGCATTTAGTACATGATCAGATGCTACTATGACTAGAGAAGTTTTTAAAAAATATGGAAAATTAGGAATGGGAAGTGAGGTCAGTGAGCTGTAACACCACTAGCCTCCTGAGACATATTTAACATTGGATCAAAAGTTTAGAGGATAGGATTAGAAAAGAAATACACTATGATAGTAAACATTGTAGCCAAGTGCGTCTGTGTCCTGTTAATTTAAACAGCCCTGGTATGTGGTTCATTACTTTATATAAATGTCTTGTGTATTTCATGAAAACGTTATGTCCAATTTAAGATTTTAGTGAGGCTTTTTAATAGGTTGAGGTGTAACTGTATTGTGGTCAATATTTTGTATATAGAAAGAGCAAAGAATTTACTATAACTTAATGGGTGATATTTCTCTAATTCACTTGAATTGATTCCACATTTTTACAGTTGTTTTGTTTGTTGTTCTCACCCTTAAGGAGTTAATTACATAAAGTGTGACCATCAGAGAGCAGTTCATTTGTTCCTTGGAGCTTTTGAAGCAAAGTGCAATTTTGTTTCATTTCCTTGTCCCTCCTACAAAGATTATCAGAATGGTTTATGCATGGACTGTGGGAAACTTTACAAAGGCTCCTGTCCTAGGCTTGGTAAGGAAACTTGCATTTATTACAGTTCCTCCATAGTATGAGTAATATCATTGCGATAGACTATTAGGCTGGAAGCTAAAATGTGTTTCATAGTAATCTGCTATTATATTATGGTTTGGGGAAAATATCAATGGGGATAATGCTAGACTCAGATTATATATTTCCTACCATTTTTCTAAAGAATTTGCCTACTCCTCTTCCTATACATACAGGCAGAAACTTCTACATTCTACATTCATTACCTTTACTAGGAAATCTTAGGCATCATAGCTAGCTTCACATTTGTTCCCAGCAGGCAGCCAACAATCACATGCGATCTATGCTTTCTAAATCAATACAACTTATCAAGGACAGTTACATTATCAGCTTTTGAAAATGAAAGTCTGCCAATGGAAAACACATAAAAAAATAAAGAATCCACAAGAAGACAGGATTAAATATGCAGAGGTAAAGAGGACATGAAGGGTATAATCAAAGTATATTATGCACATTTATATGTATGTATAATATGTGAATTAATAGATAAGTACATAAAATGTGTTCAAGTAAAAAAGAAAAAAAATAGAATTTAAAAGAATTCCAGGCCATGTTTCAACATGGTATAAACATATCCATATCTGGTTAGTATCTTGCAAGGGTTTTCCAGAAATGTTAGCAAAGTCAAAAGTTTTCTAGGAATGGGAGATGAGTAAGAGAACTTAAATAGGCCCAGTGCAGCAAGATTTTCTCATCCTTACTGTCTACACATGGAGCATCGCTATATAAAGTATCATCCATCCAGGATTTGTCAAATCCATATTTCCATACCTTTCTTTTGTTAACTTATATCTCTAGATGGGATTGTCTTTCTGGTGGCATTGTTTTCCCATCTGTGACTCAAGTTAGCTATATAGATGGCTTAAGAGCATAAGGTTGAGCTAGAGTTAAAAATTCTGAAATTTAAACTAAGTGTTCTGGCTACTACGTTAAAACTCAAAAGATTTGAGGTAGAAATAAAGAGGCATTTGGATATATTTAATATATTAATAAATTGATATTCTGTATTCATATGTAAGAAATATATTCAAGACATATGATTTATATATGTATTTATGGTTATGTGTATTTTTGCATAGTACAATATTGTATATGTAGGAAAACTTTGGAGCTTTATTCACAGAGCTAAACTGCATGTTCAAATTTTATGTAATTCACTTATTCTGGTGAATTTACTAAAAAGTGTTATGCATAAACTTCTGACTATATAATATGGTAGAAAATACTGATACAGGTGGACCTCAGTTGGACCTCAGTCATACAGATTATGTCAACTTCTAATAGGACTTTCAGAGAGTGGAGTGATTTTTTGTGAATCTTGAATATGAGTACTTTGAAAATTAATGTAAAGTATCTTACATGTTTTCGAGGTGCCTTTTAATCTATATTTGACAGTGTACATGGATATTTAAGGACTTTAGTGATTTGAAGAGTTTGTGTGTGTACCACTTAATGGAATTCAGTTCCTGTATCTGGTTCTCTAATCTTAGGTAATCAAGCCAAGCTGTGGAAAGAAGGCTTGAATAAAAGAAAAGAAGGATTGCCCCTCAGGACCATTGCATTTTTGGATACTAGCAAAGTATATCCATATTGTAGTAAGTTGCTAGAATTTAAATAAGTGAAACATTGTTTGCAATCCTGTGTTATTTCAGAATAACTGAAGCCATCGTTATAATTAATTTTTAAGGATGAATTTACCTTTGGTTTCTAAACATGTCAATTGAAGACTCAAGTGACTTGCTCTCAAGTACAACAGTTAGCTAGTAAAAGAAGCCAGGCTATCCCTATCATAGGAGAAAAGAATAGGAAGACAATGGAGTCAACATTTCCAAGCAATTTTAGAACCAACCCAGGCTAGCTCCATTTAATTTCGAGCCTTACTTGGCCATGATTTCTGCACTCATATCTCCATGTTTTTGATGCTCTCTCTTCTCCTCCTCTTCCTACTCCTACAGCTGCTTACTTTACCTTTTCTCCTCCAACCTCTGTTGTATCAAATATTCATTTATATTTCATAATTTTAGCTTTCTATAAATATATCTGAACTTCCACATGTCTCATTTCTTTTCATTATTAATTTATTTATTGCTGAAATAAAGCCTACTGATGACTTTTCAGTAGTCATTTTGGCCAATTGCTTTTAAAGCTTTAATTTTTAAAAGTGTGTGTGTGTGTGTGTGTGTGTGTGTGTGTGTGTGTGCACATGCTTATAAATGATAAATGCAGGTGCTCACAGAGACCAGAGGTATTTTGTGGATGAATGTTTCTGTCCCACTCGGTCCCACAGCCTTTCAGAAACGAATAAACACACAGAGGCTTATATTAATTATAAACTGTTTGGCTGCTGGCTGAGGATTCTTATTGGCTCCTTCTCTCTTAATTATTAGTCCATTTCTATTAATCTGTGTATCTTCATGTGGTCTTATCTCACCAGAGAATCCCTGGACATGCTTTCTTCCTGTTACCTACATGGTGTATTGCTGGTGGCTCACTCTGTGTTCCTCTACCCAGCATCTTCCTAGTATGGTAGCCCTGCCTATACTTCCTGCCTGGGTACATCATGTCTGTCCATTCACTGATACAGCTTTATTCATCAACCAATAAAAGAACCATTCACAGCATACAAAAGGACATCCGCCTTCAGTATTTGATCCCCTGGAGCTAGAATCACAGGCATTGGTCAACTATCTGACATGTCAGCTGGAGTTCAAACTTATATATTCTGCAATAGCAGTATAACTTCTAGTCTACGAGAAAAATTTCTTCAGTTAACTGTGAGCCCTTTTTGTTTTGGATTAACATATCCCTCCCTGCATGTATTTGTTTGAGTCGTAACAGTTCCAATGAACTTACACTGTATACAGTTATTTGACTTCTTTGCTATTCCTCAGTAGGCAATGAAACTGATGATTAAAGTTGGTAAGCACATTTAGCTGTATATATTATTCAGGTGATCAAGAGACTTATAATATTTACATATGTTCCTGACAAAGAAAATGTTGTTTCATATTTTTCTTCCATTGGATTTTTTGTTTTTAGCCAAGTTAGTATGTAGTATCAATTTAATCAAATTATCAGCATACTCAAATTGACGATTGACTGGCAGCTTTTTATTCTTCAAAATCTGACTTTTTTTTGTTTCCTGTAATGGCATGACCTCTAGTATGTTTAGGGAAGATCCCACTCCCAGGAATAGTTGGACAATGTAATATGTACTCATTGGGGAGAAAAAAATTAGAAAATTCACAAAGTTTGGTGTTGGGGAGGTACAGGTAGATGAGGGTGTGGGAAGAGTTGGGGGGGAGGTGAGTATGAACATTGTCAGAATAAAGTCTTTGAAATTCCCAAAGAATTATGAAAAACATTTTGGAAATAACCCAACAAGAAGCAGAATGCACAATCCACTGATAAAATTATTTCATCTGAAATTTTTGTTTGCATATGAAATACGGGACTCTGATACATAGGCCACATATGCTTGTGTGTATTTTTGCATATGTGGCAAAACAAAACAAAGGTTGGAATATAATATGAATGACATTTTGTATTTTTATTTTGTAGCATATTATTTTGATATCACTATAGTTGCTTTGAACAAAACTATGAATGCTGGATCAATTTCATTCAGCTTATTAAACAGTCTTAAGGAACTTGAATTCCCCAAGCTCTATGTGTAAGTACCAGTTATTACTTACTCCTTTGAGAAATTAAATGTTTGCTTATTTGCATATCTACGAATGGTTCAGCAGCTAATTCAGAGTGAATTTTCTAAATGAGTAAGCTCAAATATTAGTGCATTTTACACATCATGTCCTACTCTTTGATTCTACAGGAACATATTGAATATGTAATATGCCATAAATACAGAATGGCCACAAGTGTCAGAGGAATGGTAGACATAATTTTTGTCATGTTTTTGACTCTTAATTCCAGTATTCCTCTTAACCATCCTGCATGCTCACTTTGTCCAGTTTTAATAAATATCATATTCACAGTGTTATAAATAAAAATATAATACTATCAGTTAATGACAGTGACACAAATTTAACATTTAGAGAACTTGAATCACAAAGATCCCAAATGTATGTTGAGGCACCTTTGTCCTCAATTCCAAATGACTTTTTACATGTGTATGATTGGATATGCACATTTCTAAAGTTACCTAATCTTCAAGCCACTTTTCAGCTGGTTTGCTAAACATGTGTTTATCACCTAGATAAATTCTTAAAATATTTTTTTTTTCTCTTCAGGAAAAGAATGATATAAAGTTGCATGCTTTTATTGTAATTACACTTTCCAATGCACTTGTTTAACTATATAGAAAGTGGAATATTTTTATGTCTGGTGATTAAGCCAATAATAAACTTCAACTTTAACCTGTTATTGGTGACTTTTGAGTTGTAGTGGCTACAGGTGTTATCTCCAACATTTACTGTTGCCATAGCTTAAGTAATTATAATACATGAACTGGCCAATAGACTAAATTTAATGTGTGGTGAGTCTTGGACCTAAACATATTCTGACATACAGCTATCAACTATGAAAGATGAAAACCTCCCTGACTAGGAGCAAATTTAGTTGTGAAACAATGACAAAAATATCCTTAATGTTAAAATGCTATCAATGTTTAATTAAAATTCTGCAATGGAATACAAATATAATACATCACCTTGTCACATAGTAAATGATATACATAGCATAGGAAAACTATTTCAAATACATGAAGGAGATCACAAGAAAAAAGTTCATGTTGGCAAAATACTGAAAAATCTTCATAGTGAAGTAAAACTATGAGCTTCCATTCTCAGAAACGAAATATTGGATCAATATCAGGCAACTAAAAATTGAGATACATATCTTAATATTGCATTCTATAGATACAATTTTTAAATTAAGAATCGTTGCAGTTAAATTATTGGTAACATGAAAATGGAAGTGTAAAACTATTTCTTCTTCAATTTTTGCCTCCTTTCAGTCACTCAAAAAAGATACAGAACACAAATTCTTCACTTATGTCAAGTCTTATTTTACTAAGAGTACTTTTCAATTCCTTTTAACCCAAGCTTGGACATGGATTCTATGTTGTATGTTATAATACTAAGTGCTATTCAGTAAACAGTCCATTAATACAGCTCTCTTATATTGTAAAAGGTTTTGTATATATTACACGCACATATATAGTCTATTGTTTATCATTATCAGAAATACACTGTTAGCTTTTAAATAAATTCACTTATTCAGAACATTATTTATAACAAAACATATACAGATGTTTTAAGGATGTCTAGGTACTCAAGCTGAAATAGTGTTATTGTTCAGAAGGAAGTCACAAAACACTGGTGGAGGCTAATGCGTAATTGAATCTGAGTAGTGAGTTTCATGATAGATTACCAGTTAATGTGCTGTCAGAAGGCAGAAAAGGAGTAAACACATTTGAAAGCAATGTAATCCCATAAGCAAACTGGGAGAAGTTGCTTCCAAAGGCCCAGAGAAAGAAAATACTGACTAAACTCATAAATAGCACAGAGACCCAACCTCCTAATGCAGTTGCTTCAATTTTCTTTCCTGTAGGTAAAGAAATTTGTTATGATTTATTTTGAAAACAGTTACACACTGTGAAATAGTGATGGATTTTACTCATAATGGATTCAGTATATAAAGGATGACATCATTATTATATGCATACTTATTACAATATGTTCACCTAAGCTAGGCTATTGTTTTCCATCAGAATTACTTGGCATTGGAACTTTTGTTTGAATGCTAGAAGAATCAAAACATCTTAAAAGACCAAGCATTTCCCTTTGAAGATCTGGAACAGAAATATTTGCTGTTTATACAAAATGCACAATATTATACAAAGAAATGAATGTATGAATTCTGAACTTGACAGTTGCACTACAGACACTCTACTTCACTTCTTCCTCATCCCGATCCTCCTTGTCCCCTTACCCCTCCTTCTCCTTCCCGCCTCACCCTCCCTTCTTCTTACACAGGATCTGTGCATACTGTGTGTTCTTGTTTCATTTTTTAATTAGCAAAATAGGTCTTGTGCTGGATCTTGATTTTCACACGTATTGTTGTGGTGTGGTCATTTTTTTCCAATGCCACTAAGAACACTCAGTTATTAAGTACAGTATGATTTGGAATGTAAGGTTTTATATATTTAGGATTTTATTTATTTATTTATTTATTTATTTATTTATTTTTCTATATTGTGCATATTTGTGTGTATGGTGGAAGGGAGGGTACACATGCTCCAGCATGCATGTGGAGGTCAGAGGACATATTTTGGATATTGAGTCTCTGCTCCCATCATGTGGCTTCCAGGAAAGAACTCAAGACTGTCAGGTTTGGTAGCCTTTATCCACTAAGCTATATCACCTGCCCTCATGGTAGGCTTTTACATACTAAGTATGATGATTACATGTTCAGATTAGAGCAGTCCATCAGATAAATATTAGTGAGATAAAAGGAAATTTTAGACTCTTCATAAATGGTTATTGTTGCATTTGAGCAATGGATGCTGGGAACTAGACAAGTTCATGGAATAAAAACAAAGATCAAGAGAGATTCTAGAGGTTCTAAGGTTTCCAAATCTTATATATGATTTATCTCAAGTGTTAAATTGAGAAAAGTAAACCAGTCTAGAATAACTTCAAAATCTCAACTGTGGACCCTAATAAAATATTTAAAATCTCCCTTTCATAACAAACCATTGTATATGAAGTCGAGGGTTCTATGGCAAGTATCCAGTTTAACCATTCAAGACATGTTTTGAGAGACTGGCAAGGAAGCATGCTAAGCAGTGGACGGGAAAGGAAGGGAAAGCAAGGGAGGGGAAGTGAAGGGGATGGAAGGGAAGGGAGGAGAGGAGAGGGGAGGGGAAGGGAGGGGAAGAGAGGAGAGGAGGAGAACAGAAGAGAGGAGAAGAGAAGAAGAAAGGAGAGCTCTTGATATTGAAGAAATAGAAATTCAGGCAGTTAGAACCCCTTGAGAAGATGTGAATTTGTAGGTAACCTATTCCTATCTGGCCTGTGTTGCAGGAGTTCTGAGAAGTCTGAATATGCTATTTGAAATACAGCAGAGATACATCCAATGAAGTTATATTCTGGGGGAAAGTGGGTAACCCAGCCAGGGTGAGAGCAGAGATGAACTTTGAAGGAATGGTGACATCCTTTGGAGGGCCTAACTTCTGTGGAGAATAACAGGGGCAGTAGAGCAATGAGAAGTCAAGCTCGGAAGGAAAACGTTGGGGCTTCCATGTGCTGCTATGTTGCTTTCTGTTCTAGACAGACCCTTGTCTTTGCTCCAGCACAGTTTGCTGCAAAACCCACTTTTTTAAAACAAGGAATATTTCCACACTATTTCCTTTTTTCCATCCTTGCTTTTCTCTTTCCCATTTCCTTCTTTCTTCTGATCGAAATCTTGTGGGTCCTCTGGTCCAACTTGGAGATGACAATAGAGAGAGCTCTATTTCATTTGGATTTGGACAATACTATAATGATGGTTACTTACTATTTATTTTTCATTTTACATACCAACCTCAGTTCTCCCTTCTCCCTTCTCCCACCCGTCCCCCACCCCACCCCCCATCACGGACTTTGGGAATTATTTTAATAGACTCATATTTCTGGCACAGACATATGTAGAGTTGGAGGAGGAGTAATAGACAGAATTTACAGTTATGGTTTTTACATTAATAGCTGTGTGAATTCTATAAAGCAATTTGTGTGGCTTGAACCTCAGTTTTCTTGCCTTATAATCACCATTCTTATAATATCCTGAACAGCAAGTTGCTGGCTACATACGATCCTCCAAGTCTATGCTGAAAGAACTGTTACTATCTTTGAAATATTGAGAATGTCTGTAAAATTATGCTTTCAAAATATTACTGTTACTTTTCAACTTAAATCTTAGTATCTTATTGATTTTTCTTTAAGGGAAATTTCTGAACTGTGTTGGAGAATAACATTTCTTAATTGAACTCCTAGTGAATTGAAGGAATTGTGATGGGTAAAGAATGGTCTACAAATTCAGGATAAACAGTCTTAGACAAAATATGTCTCCACATGCTGATATGGGAACTCATGTATCCCCACTGTTATTTTAGTCTGTCTTGTCTGACCTCTTCCCTATAAAATTGTCCCCCATGTTTCATTATTATTACACTGATGTTAGAAAAACTATATTTAATTATTTTATATAATTAATTATTTAATATACTGAGAACATCATATTTTTCTGCTTAGGAAAAGCCAACCTTCTGAAAATCTTCAAGAAGTCAAGATTCTTGCTCAGTTCATAAAGGATGTTGAGGACATTAGATGCATTTATATGACATATTTGCAGCCTTCTCATTGTTCCACATCCCCATATATATTTCAGAGTCTCGTATTAAAGTCACTTACATACCCAGAAAGGTAAGAAATCTAAATTTTGATTACACTATTTTGTCTTAATGTTTGAAGTGCTCTTTAAGTTTTGGGTAAGACTTTATGTGTGAAAATATTCATTAATTTTATTATAAAACAATTTCAAAATGTTTTAAAAAAGACATAAAATGTATTTTTTTCTTGTCTTGAGTGATACTTAGTGATGGTTTAAAGTTACATTATTTGAGCAACAGAAAACCATGCATACTAATTTCATAAGGTATTGCTAAGTTGAGAAATTGACACAATATATCCCTTAAAGGTTTATTAATATTTTATGTTTGCTTGTTTTTTAGCTCAAAAAACAGTTTTATTAGAGTTTAAGAGAAAAAGAGCAGGTGAAGTCAGGTGCAAATCTCAGCAGCTGCAGTGAGGATCAAGACAGAAAAGTGGAAAAGGAGAGAAAGAGAAATCATTTTAGGGTAGGCCACAATTCCCAAGTGGGATTCTTAACGCCACTGTAAAAGTTAGGCATTGCCCTATGCAACTGTGACTCCAGTGTTGGATGAATGGACACACGGGAATCATGGAACTTGCTGACCAGCCAGGCTAGTCAACTCAGTGATTGCCAGGTTCTGTAAGATATCATATCTAAAGGAAATAAGGAAATAAGGTAGAAAATAGTAGGGAAATATACCAACATCAACTTCTGTCCTGTGCATGAGTGTGCACAGGTAAACATACCACACATACACACATGTATAGATTATAGGAACATGTTGCACAATACAACATGCATAGATGCACATCCCATGTATAGACAGATACAATATATATTCATATATACATATATGTATGCATATTTAAATATATACATACACATATACATATAACACATATATGTATATGTGTATATATGAGTTCCTAATTTTATCTTTTATAAAAGTGCAGTACAGAAGATACATGTTTACACAAAGGTAAAACAAAAGCACTATGTGAATATGTGTGTGTGTGTGTTTGTGTGTGTACAGGAATATATAATGCCTGTGTATGAATGCATGTGTGTAGAGGCAAGAGGTCAGCCTTAGATATTCTTTAGTGCCAATCACATTTTGTGGAAGATAGGTTCTCTTACTGGCATCACAATAATGATTGCTAGAGATCTGCTTCTCTCCACCTCTCCAATGTTGAAATTATGATAGTGTGATTGTGCTAGCCTTTTTATGTGAGTGCTAGGGATCTAATTCCAGACCCCCATACTTGTGTTACTGACTGACTGAACTGTTTACCAATCTGAACATGCATTTAGATGAGCTCTGTATCCGCAGAGGAGTATTGGGAATTAATTTAAATGCGAATCACCTTACAAATTTCAGTTGATAATATACATACATTCAAAATCAGCATAAAAAACTGACAAAAGGCAGTTTTCATTGTCCCTGTAGTTAAAATATATGCAAAAGAAATGAAAACCAATACAAATCCAAGCAAGAACATTTACTACTATAATTTCTTACAAATGTGTGGTTGGAGCAGAATGTCATATCTTGAAGGACAAAGTTTTAAGTTTTCATCTCTATCTGATTTGGTATTTATTTTATAATAAAAAACAGTTTCCAGTAATGAATACATTTATTCATTGCAGAGCATTTGGAACATTTGTTCCAACATATTAATATTTTCTGCTTTTGCATCACTATCATCTCATTTCATTTTTATGTAGACACCAGCTGCATAAAACTCATTCATAAGTAAGAAATAGGGAAAAGCCATTCCTAGATGCTCCAGTGCATAAAACACAATGGTATGGGATTTTCTTTTCCAAACCCTAACTGTGGATGGATCATGATGATTTACTGGATTTACAAAATTTGTATACAATTCTTTTGACTCAGAAAATGAAAATTTAAAACACTATAAATAAACTACCCAGAGACAGATATTGGCATTCAAGCTTTAAGTTGAAGATCAGAGAAGCAAAACAAACAGGCCAGTAGTTCTTACCTCTACCTAGCTCAAATGACAATGCTGACTCCACCAATGCTCAGAGGCAAAACTCTCAGTTCCTGCCTCCTCCTGCCTTATTTCTTTTCTCTGCCAGCCAAATGGCTCCTGTGTCCACCTCCCTAGTGTAGAGATTATAGGCCTGTGATCACAGGTGCTGAGATCACCTTTGTGTGAGCTGTTTCTTTAGGACTAGATCAACTTGAACTAGTCTACCTTTTAATCCTGAGTCCTAGGATTAAAGGTGTGTGGTACCACAGCCTAGCTCTATAACCAATCAATCAATCAATCAATCAATCAATTAATCACTTTAATCCAAGGTTTGTGTCACCACTGCTTGATTCCTATAGTCTGAGCCTGGCTTTGCTTTCTGAATCCTTGAACAAGCTTTCATAAGTCATAAACAATATATTGCCACAGGTCATCTCATTGAAGTCACCACAATCAGGTGGCTTTTGGTTTCGTAATGTTACTGCTGCTTGATTGATTGTTCTCTTGGTTTTCTAGTTTTCTAACAGGTATGCAAATATAAGTTGTTCCTTTCCATTTCTCAGACAGCAATGATGAGGCCATCTCTGCTCTTTAATCTGGGTATTGACACATTTAACTAATTAAGATTAATGTCAGTGCAGGTTAATTCAAGCTTTGTGTTTTTGTTTTCTATTTGTTCTATTGGTTCCCTGCTCATTTTTTTTTCTGTCATCTTCTGGATAAATTGAGGACTTACGTGATTTCATTGCTTCTTCATGTGGATTTTTGAAAGGTCTCTTTGGAGTTTATATTACTTAGTTTACAGAAATCTACTTTCAAGTGGTTTTTAATATTTCACATAGGAGAACATTGTAGTACTCTGCTTTTATTTTTCAATGATACTTTTTTATGCTGTTGTTGGCAAACCTTTTCCTTTCAAGTGTCCTATTTGAAAGGAAACTCTATTTCTGTTTAAACAGTTATTCTATGAAAGAGATAACATTAGTTAGAGACATGATATGTACGTGTGTGTACATATATCTTCAAGTGTGAATACATATGTTTGTTCATGTACGTGTTCATATGTGTTTGAATGTGTCTTACAAAGGCTAGGGATTAAAAACAGAAATTTTCCTTAGTCACTTGTGATAGATTAATTAACTAATTAATTAATTAATTACACATATCAATCCCAGCTATCAGTCTGGGGGTCCAATAGCTCCTCCTTATTTAGGTCAGCTGTCTCTGTGGGTTTTTGTAGCCTGGTCTTGTCCTCCTTCTCTGCATCTGGATTCCAGTTCAGCTCAGTGTCTAGTTGTGGCTGTCTGCTTCTGTTTCCATCAGCTACTAGAAAAGGGCTAAATATGATGGTGGATAAGTTAGTTCTCAATCTCATGTGATATTTTCGTGACATACTCTTTCATTGGATCTAGAGCTCATGTATATTATACACATCTAACAGCAATGTCCAGGAATTGACCATCTCTCTGTGTACCCCCAGTCCTTGGGTTACAGACGTGTCCTGCAGCATGTGGTGCTTATATTATATCCATGTGGGACTTCAAATCAGGTTCTCATGCTTGCTTGGAAAGAACTTTGCCAAGTGGAACTTCTCCTCAGCTCCCATTGGGATGTTTTGGTTGACAGGGGCATCTCTTCACCCGCATTAACTTACTTTCTAGCATAGTTTTCATAATGAATTTTTTTCTCTACTGTGTCTATATTATTTATGAAAATTCCTTATATGTTCTTCATTTTTAAAGATAATATTTGCAGACATAGAACTCTAGTGTGACAAATTTTACTTTCAGTACTCCCGGTGGTCTTGTCAGTGGAGCAGGAGGTAGCACCTGCACTTCAGGGGTTTCATTCACCAGAAAGCAAAGCACTGATGGCTGAATCTCAGATAGAAAAGGCCCTGAGCGCTTTTCCTCCAGAATGTCTCTTGCTACTGCTGCGTTTTTACATGTTTTCCACTGAAGTTTTCTCTGGTATCTGGCATAGTGTTAATGGGTGTGGGGGAATCCCCACTGCCTTTAATGTAGTGTGATTATCTCATGGAAATATCCAGTTCTACTGGGCATTTTTACCTGTGGATTATTCTAAAGATGATTTCCTTTTAAGCTGCACTGTTTAATTGAAGTAATGGTTATATACAATAATGGTGTTAGTTCAAATAGAATTTTGATGATTAAGGATTTCTAATAACTATAGTAAGAGAACATGATAGTGGTTAGTTTAGTGGGAAAATTAATATAGGTAAAGATAAGCTACAGTGTTGTCCCCATTCCTGATAGAGCAGAGGCTCCAGAGGATAGAAAATAGGAACAACAAAGTGTCACTCAGCTAGGACTTATGAGTCTCTTGAGGAGCCATCTAAATTATAGTTTAGGTTAATGATTAAGGAAAACAATTGATTCTCAGAAGTTAGGCTAGCTCAAGTTCTTTTTGTGTTAATGTTGGAAGCTGTGTTCAGGGGTTTCAGTGTGCATCATAGCTAACACAAATCTTTAAATAATGACTTAAGGTTAGGTTAAGGTGATTTTATTAGTGGCTTTGAGGTAGAAAGTCTTGGGAAACATAGTTTATAGAGACATAGTTTTTATAGTTGAGAGACAGACTACTTGAGGTCAAGGCACAAAAACAATGGCAACCTTGTTATTGTTGGCTGACATACCTTTCTCCCTAGAATGGGTTGGTGATCATAGGTGATGATTAAATCTTTGTACTCATTTCTACCCTCAGTTTCCTGATACCAAAAAAAAAAAAAAAAAAAAAAAAACCAAAAACAACAACAAAAAAACCCCCAAAACTTTTGATGAGTGGGTTTCACCCTGAAGATTTAAAGTAGAACTGTTTTTTTTCATAAACCTAAGTTTAGATTGTGATTCTCTTAAGATATTTTTATAAGATTACTTTTTGAGATAAATGATAAAGTGACTGGTCCTTTCTTTGGAACTGCAAAATGAAGCCTGCCAGTAAAAGCATTGGCTGAGAAAAAAATACATTGTTTGTTTACATTCTAATACATTGCTTGCTTACATTCTGTTAATTTGTAATAAAATGCTTAGACATAAATGTATGTGGGTTCTTGTGGATAATTTGTTTTTCACCTGTAATACGCACAATGTTTAATTATGTGTTATCTTTTTTATTTGTACTCATTGTAATTATTCACTTAAAAATAGAATGTAACCACTTCGTAATTATTATATTTATTGTTCCAAAGATTTTGTTGGGGTAAATGAGCTATAGGAGAAAAAATAAGAAAGTGAGGAAGGCATCAGGAAAGACACACAGAAGGGATAAATCAGGATAGAAGAACAGAGCAACAACAACAAACAGAATAGAGTAGAACAAGCAAAAACAAACAAACAAAACAAAACAAAAAAAAAAACAAAAACAAAAAAGAATAATAAAATGAAGAATTAAGCCTTGGCCCCAAGCAAAGCCCTCATGTGTCTGTCTGTTTTCTGTACAGTAGTTTGACTGCTCTGATCTCTCCTTCAGTTTCTCTGACCTGCCGAAGGCTTGCCATTCATCAGCACACTGCGTGACATCCTGATGTGTGTGTGTTTGTGTGTGTGTGTTCCCTTTTCACTGCCGTAGAGAATTAAGTTTTACTCCCTCAGATATATATATATAAAATCAATTGAGTGATTAGTCCACTGGCTCCATGATTCCCCCTTCAATTCCTATGCTGCTAAAGGCTGGTCCTTCCAGTGACTTAGTACTTCCTATATAGGACGCTACATTGTCTGTTGCTTTGATTATATTAAGAAATCTGTTGTTGTCCTTGTTTCTCTAGAAATGATAACTTATTTTCTTTGGGTAATCAATATTTTTTACTGAGTTGGGACAGTTATATTACAATATGCCTAGTAATTTATTCACATTACTTTTATTAATTATTATTATTATTATTATTATTATTTTGTTTGTTGTTTTGCGAGACAGGGTTTCTCTGTATTGCTTTGAAGCCTGTCCTGGAACTTGCTTTGTAGACCAGGCTGGCCTCGAACTCAAAGAGATCTGACTGCCTTTGCCTCCTGAGTGCTGGGATTAAAGGCATGAGCCACCAATGCCTGGCTATTTCTTATCATGAATGGTTAACAATAACATCGTAGAATAATATCTTTAAATAGGAAATGGTCAAATTTTCTTGTATGAAAGAATTTCATAAATGAGTTCTTGTCTTTGAAGTTCATTGGCCATAAACCTGCAGAGTGATAGTTTGTTCTTTTTAAATAAGATTTCATCAAAAGTTTCACCTAGGCCTTTTATTTATTTTTGCTTCTGTATCACTTTTGTGTCTTCTTTGGGGATCCATATTTCCTATTTCAGTGTTAAACGTTGTCCCAGAACTCACAAATGCTGCCTTAATTTTCCTGATTACACTTTCCACATCTAATTTTGGGGAGTTTGGCTGTTACTGCTCTTTGCTTCTATAACATCAATCTGTTATCATTCCTGTGTAGCAGTGTTTAGTTCATACACTGTGTCCATATATGGAAGTATGATTTGTATTTTTATAATTTATGTCTGTGTTTATCTTTTTGAGCACATGAAATGAATGTATGTTAACTAATAGGCTACATTTGTGTTGGTTACCACATTTGCGCTAATGCTGTGGATTGTTTCAGTAGGATAAATCTCTTCCTCATATGGCTCTAGCTTCTGCTTCTTGCTTGCCAGCAAATTCCTTACAAAGCCAGAATGAGGATAACCAGGGCCACATACACCTTGTTATTTATTTGTTTACTTCCTGCATTTGGTGTTGAACTTTGAACCTTGGGGTTGTTCCTGTTCTCCTAATTCTCTCCCATTGAGTTTTATCCATATCCCTACAGGGTGTTTTTGGATTTAGATGCTAGACATCGTATGTTTTATCGTATTGGATGATCTGCACTCTGTAAATATGTTTTATAAATGTGAAATTCCTGTAAATAGCTTTGAGGCTGGTTTTGAAGAAGCTACTAAATTACGTATGGGCAGATGTTCTTTAGAAGAACGGGTTTCACAGTGTTCTAGGCATACCTGGAGAAATATTAAACTGAGATTTGTTTACTTGCATCTTGTGAGCATAACTTATCTAGCTAGTGACATGTAAGTTGTGAATTTATCCCTGTCCAGCAGTTAGGATAGAATCAGGTATATTTCTGTCTCTGTATTAATGGTTAAAAATAATTCTTTAAGTCACTTTACAAAAGAGCATTAGAAAAGTTGAAGTGACATATCATGCAAAAGTCCCAGAAAGATATTTAAAATAAGCAAAATGTATTTCTTATTTTTTATGCTATATTTGGATTGCAGCTAAAAACTAGATTAGATTTAGCTTTAGATATTAACTTTGAATCACTTCCATTGTTAATAAAGTTTGTTTATTTATCAATTTTCCCTTGTGTTAATCTGTAATAAGAAAAATATTAGAAATGTGATATTTAATGTGCATGCTGGAATTAAAAATATATAAAAACTTTCCTTCTTTGAGATGTTTCAACAAATACACATTTTCTTTGAAATAGCACCATTTTCATAGGAAAGGACTATTAATTATATATAGTAAAAGACTTCAAAATTAGAGTCATGACAATGAAAATAGGTGACTATTAACAATGTAGAGAAAGAAAAGCAAACTTTCTCATATATATTTACAAAGTTGAAGGTTGTCAGGCCTTACACATCTGCTTAAACTGTTCCTATACTGTTGTACAAGCTTTACAAAAAGAAAAAAAATGACAATGTTGCTTTGCTCATATATTTCAGACATGCATTCTGGGAAGGCACTGAGTAGCTGAGGTAACTTTTTCATTTATAGATCTGACACATTTTAAATATAAAAATAGTGTAGAAATGAGGCAGAAGAAATTCAAGAATCTAAGGCATATCCATACATAAAAGGCATACCCATATGTACAGCCAAGCAGAGCAAGATTTCGTGTGTTTGAGGAACTAAATATCTTTCAACTTCTCTCTAGTTCTTAAAAAGTTTTATTTTTTACTTATTTCATGTGTGTGTAAGTTTTGCCTATAAGGGTGTCCCTGAGTTACTTGCATGTAGTACCTGCAGAAGCCAGAAGAGGGCATCTGATGCCCTGGAACTGTCTACAACTCTAAAGTTCTTGTCAGGAATCTACCCTGGGATCCTTTGGGAGAGCAAGTGCCTTTAATGCTGAGCCATTGATGGTCTCTAGAGGCACAGATTATGATCCGCTATAACATAACGAAAGCTTCCTCTGCCAGCATCTTAAAGTTTTTATGGTGTTTGAGTAGTATCAGTTCGCAATTATAGGGCCACAATGTGAAAATGAAAGTTACAAGCAGCCTTTAGTATTTGAAATGAGAAGCACTTATACTCTTCTCGATTCATTTCCGTAACGATCAGTGCTTACATTTTATATGCAAACATAAAATTTATGTCTCATAAAAATTAAGAAATTCAAATGCAATCTGCTGTTAAATATTTTGTAACATTGATAGCTGTAGTGGTTCATGCCTGTGGTCCCTGCATACAGAGGTTTAAAGAAGTTTAAAGTGAATTTAAGGCCAACCTGAGCTATGTAACAAGACCTGGTTAAAACAAACAAACAAACAACCATTATCCAGTAGTATTTCCACCATGCTAGGATGTTGGAACACATGTAACTCTGGAGCCTGTCACATAAAAGTAAGATAATTTTGTGGTTGATTTGATTTCACTTGACTTAGTAACCATGGATGAATAAAAATATATTTTTTCCCATTTACTTTTTTATTTTCAAGTTTTTCCAAACATTAACAGAAAAACAAGCATCAGGACAAGATGCTTAATTAATTGTGGTTTAATCTATTAGCTATCTCAAACACTGTATACATGTCCTCATTAAAATGTACAATATGTTACATGGTATTGTTTCAATTTTAATGAATGGCAAAATAAAGTTAAAGAAAAGAATTTAGATAAAATATGCCTTATCTGTCACTCTCTCTCTTTGGAAGTAGTTGCAATGGAAGAGGTATTATTGATGCCTTAAAATTGAATTCAGGAAGAGACTGATTTCAATAGTCCTGTACCATCTGAATAGCCTATGGTGTAACAGAGACAGAGGTGGAAAGGGATAATTATTTTCTTTCTCATAAGCATTATCTCTATGTCATCCCAACACAGATGAGACAAGTGGATTCAGGTCTAGGGGATTGTTCCAATTTCCTACTTTTAAAAAACTAGCTAGTTATGGATTTAGACTATTCTAATATTTACATGAAAAGGAAATAAAAATTGCCACTTTACTAATATCTGTTTGCCTCTTTTCTTCTCTTTCAAAGACCACCACTGTGCAAGTATAATTTTGTACTTAAGGAAGGAACAATGACAGCACTTCAACTAGATGCCTGTAAGACACAGATGGTGTGAATGCGTTCTTTCATCCAGTATACAACTGTGGACTAAAGAATTTGTCAACTGCAACATTGTAACCAGCCATTGTTCTAGAATGAACTAGTCAATCTGTGATTCAGGTGTATCTATTTTAACACACTGTGGAGAATCCAACATAAGAAAACATAGTATGCCTATGACGAAAAGCACTCTGAATATATTCTAAAGCTGTTTGTTTTTCCTCATCTGCTTCTGATATGCATTTAACATTGAGTGCTTATATCTGCTACTTATCCTAATAAGTGAATGCATTAAAAACATATTTTTAAAAGGGAAATGACAAGTTTAGTGCTTTAGAGTGGAAGAAAATCAATATCATGGTACCTCTCTCTCTACTGTTGTAAAAAATGAAATGACTTCTTTTAATTTGAAATTTTATTATTTAGTGAAATAAGTTGGGTTAATGTGTAACTTGTGAATCTGAATAATTTTTATGTTTTGCAAATAAGAACATTGTGCTGTTGTGCCCAATAAGTTAATAATTTATGGACTCATGATGCTTAAGATGAAACCCTAAATCCATAACTTAAACCACATGACTTTGAGTAGACTGATTTAATTCATTATGTTTCTAAGTTCTCTAAGAAATGTTTGTGAAATTTACCCAGCAAAACTGTGAATAGCGTCTGTTCACCATGATGATAAAAATAAACATGATTATAGCTAACAGTTACATGGATCATTGTGGTGTTGGAACTTATTAACCCATCTAATTTTATAAAACATCATGAAACCTGTCTTATTACATAAATGATGAAGAGACTCCAGCATAAAGAAGCTGCAGGTTCAATGCACACCTCATTCGATTAGAGATGTCTGGATATATGTCAGTTATCTTGTTAATCTCTTTCTTTCATCAGCGTGTGTCAGTAATATGAGGAGTTAGATATATTACCACCGTATTTGGGAAAACAATCTACATTTCCTTGACATTTTTCATCTTATCTGTTTAGTCAAGGTACTTCTCTGTTAGAGCTTGCTTACTTGTGTCTCTGTACCTCTATAGTTTGTAATTTGCTTCTGAAGTAGAACACCAAGTAGAGTCCATACTTATGACTTATGCTCTTTATTGATTTTTTTCTTGTTTGTTTTTGACTTTCTTTCTTCTTTTTTTTAATTAGTGTTTTAGTGCTTGCAAACGCCAGTCTTCTTGTTTTATATTCACAGGGTCTTCTATGTAAGTGAACACCAACTATCCCTTTGTGTTTCAAAATGTCTACTTAGACAGTGTAAGTTCACCAGGCACACTGTAGTGGGACCCACCCAAAGTCTTGTTTTGCAACATAACCACATCTCTGAAGTTGGACATAATTGAATTTGTTTTAAAATTAAACCATTATATGCTTGTGTGCATGTGTGTGTGTGTGTGTGTGTGTGTGTGTGTGTGTGTGTATTCTTGTGTATATTGGGTCATGTGTCCATGCTAGTACACATACAAAAATGTGCTTGTGTATGTGTGTGTTGAAGCTGGAGAATCAACTCAAGTGTTAGTTTCATGAGTGTTGGTTACCTTCTTTGAAATAGGAGTTCTCCTTGCTCCGGATCTTAAGAGTTAGTCTAAACTGGCTGTTCTGATCAGGGACTCTCTGTAATCCTTTCTTTGCCTCCCTGGACTGAGATTATTAGTATGCAACACTCTGTCTGGCACTTTGTTTGAAAGATAATTTATTTAGTAGAGTTATGTGTATGCATTTATATCTGTGTGCAGGTTTGTGCACACGAGTTTAGTTGTCTGCAGGGTCAAGAATAGGGTGTCAGATCAGCAGGACCTGGTGGTTTTGATCTTCCCAAACACTGAGACTGTGACCCAAACTCTGATCCTCTGCAAGATCAATAACTACTATTAATTGCAGAGACATCTTTCATCTCCATTTCTATCATTTTTACACAGGTTTTGGGAACTGGACTCAGTCTTGACTGGGACATTTCCCCAAATTATATATCAGACTAAATGCATTATTATATGTAATATTTACATGATTTTATGAAGATTTTTGCTGATGCATTAAAGCTATCAATAAGAAATTGAGAAAAGGAAGGGACTGGGATTCCAATAGCTTCTTCAACACCTACCCCCTAAGAACCTATGTTTCTTCTATTAAGTCCCACTTCCCCAAGATTCTGCAGCCTCTCAATATCACTATCAGCTGGGACATTCAATATATAATCCTCCATATAGGTGACATTTAAGATGAAATTATTGCTTGATTAAGCTAATCTATGAATTAAAATCTTTACTTGCTATATCTCATGTCCCATTACAAATTCTCTATAAGAATATATCTTCAGCAGCCGGATTAAGAATCAAAGAAACAAAAATTGAATAATGGACCATATTAGAAAGACTTTTTGGTACGATTCAATTGTTGTATAATGAGTAATCAGTGAGCATTATGTAAATCTGTGAATGAGTAGATGGAGGAATGCATGAATGAGAAGTCAAAGCCTCTGCAGAAGCGCAGACAAATAGAGGGAGCTTGGCTCCCTAAAAATGTGATGTGCCTGGTGATTATTGAGCCAAATGACACAGAATTTGATGAATGTGACCATCTTGTCAAACTCACAGAAACACATGCTGTGCCTCTGCGGTGTGCTTTTAGATTTTTTTCTTCAGTATATTACCAAGCATTACTAAATAGCCCCCAAGACAATTAAATACAATTTGTTTCTCAAGTGTCATAAACAACATCAATGGGAAGGATAGTTTTGAGATGGAGTACTTGAAAACATGAAGAGTGTTTTCCTTAACATTCGATTGGCTTATGAACATGGGTTATGTGGAAAAATGAAAGAAAGTCTGAAAGGTGAACAGCTGGTAATGCAGATGGTGTTGACGAATTGAATTTGGATTTCTGTACCATGGCTTGCATTTCTGGAATGCTAGACTCTTGGCTCAGAGTAGAATTTTGTCTCATCGGGACATAGAAGATTGTTTTTTCACGCAGGCTAAAAGTGTCTTAAATGGAACACAAGATTACAGAAAGTGTTGGAAGATTAAATTCAAGGCACCATTCACCCAGATCCATTGCCCTGCATCGCATACACTTTCAGGTTTCCTCCTGATCTTTATCAACAACAATCAGTATTTAGCTCAGATACACCCACAGACCACTTACCCCTTGGGCCTTTGCTTGGCCATTCCTGTGGTTAGTTTATTTGTCCCAAGCACACGCCCACCTTTGCCGTTGTCTCCACTCATAAGCAGAAATGTAGTCCTGTGTCTGTGTGATAGCTTGGCTCTTGAAAATCTCCGCATACTTGTCTTCCATCATGAGAATGGAATGCATATATGTTTATTTCAGGCTCTTGGTGAATATTTGGGTTATTCCAATTGTTCAGCAACCTATGCCAAACTAAATAAATGAAGCAGTAACATTTTCGAGTTTCTATATTTTAGGTGGGGGGAAGAGTGGGCAGCAATCATCATTTAGTCAGTCTGGAACAAAATGTTACAGGTAGTGTCGGCTTGAAGATCAGAGAGTGCTTAGGGATAATTTGAGAGTCTCTGGGCTTTAAATTCTCCTAAATCAAGACTTCAGTTTTACAGAATTTTAGTCAAGACAAATAGAGTATTTAATACATGCAATTAAAAATGAATTTAAAAAAATTTTCCTAACTATAGAAGAATTAAAACATGAACATCTGAGCAGATAAAATAGTGATAATTTTTATGCCTTTCCTTAATAACATTTTAGGAAAATGAAACATTGGCTGGCAAGCTATCAGCATCCCCAGCCATAGAGATTCTAATATCCTTATACTTGTCCAAACAGATATGTCATCAGCTTCAAGAGTGTTTTGTCACAGAGATTTAAAACATGTGTAAATGTCATTGCATTTTAAACTTTATTTCTCAAAACTTTCATCAAAACTAGGCTAGGAGGGAGGAACAGGGAACTGGGACCGATGTGCAGAATGGAAAAAAATATATATGAAAGAACACACACACACACGCACACACACACACACACACACACACACGCACACACGCACACACACGCACACACACACACACACACACACACACACACACATATATATGTTTCATATATGTATGAAAGAATTGGGCTTGAAAAGTGTTAAAAAATTTAAAAAACCAGCACTTGATATTTGTTGATTTAAACATATATTCAGTTTTTACATGAACTAAAGACAAATGATTCGAAAGCTACATCAAGTTTGTGATAGTACAGTGTGTAGGTGCTATATTCGCCTTAACATCCCTTTTCATTGAACAAGTCAAGAATACTCACAGAAGACTGGTTTCAAAGTTATGTTGTAATATAGGAAAAATTAAATCAATATTCTAAGCTCTAAACAGAAGTACTCATTGTCTAAGGCAAATACTTACTTGTATTTCTACATAGTAGTAACTAATTATATGACAGTTGTCAAGTCCTATTTTCTTTTTTCCAAATCTTTAGATAGTTCCTTCACTACAAAGATGGTGCCGATTCCTGTGCAGAAGATTTTCCAATTCATGAGGTCCTATAAGTCAGTGGTTGCTCTCAATGACAGGGCTATTGGGATTCTGTTTAGAAAGTTCTTTCTTGTTCCTATGAATTTAAGTGTATCCATCCCCCAGTTTCTTCTGTAATAGATTCAGGACATGAGATTTTTGTGTTGAATTCCATAATCCAGCTTCAGGGTGAGTTTTGTGCAGTCTGAGAGATATGGATAGTTTATTTCTTCTACATGTAGGTATTCATTTTAACCAACACCATTTGGTTAAGATTCTGTTTTTTTTTTTTCTTCTGGTGTGTTATTTTGGACTCTGCCAGAATTAAGTGGCTGTAGGGGCATAACTATTGTTTGTGTCCTCAATTCTATACTATTGATAACTGCCCATTTTAAATGAGAATATCGTGCTGCTTATTTTTTTTATTTTGCATAGCATTTTAAATTTCAGAGAAGAACTGCATTGGAATAGGGGTTGCATTGAATCTGAAGATTGACTTTGGTGGTGTCTTAGGCAA